ACACACACACACACACACACACACACACACACAGACACAGCCCTCTACCTCGTCTTTTTGCCTCTCCCCCTCTTCTCACTGGGGCATTTTAGTATTGCATGCAAAAGTGAGTCTGCAGTGCGCAGGGTCCCCCCCCCCCCCCCCCGCTCTCTCCGCTCTTCCCCTCCTTCCTTCCAGCTGCAGAACAGTGTGGCTGCAGCAGCTCTGACATATCACACGCCGAAAGATGAGGAAATATGAAAGGTGTCTTAGCCCCCCCGTTAGTGGCCGCACGCCCGCACGGGGACGTGGCCCGCGACTCTGTGCGGCCCGCCCGTAACCCCCCCCCAACCCCCCCAGGCGTCGTCTCCCCGGCTTTGAGCGGGCGGGCAGATGTAAACAGCAGCTCCAGGCAGCGAGCAAAACCGGGGTGGACCGAACATGCCTCAAGACAGGCGCGTAATCACTCCACTGTAAACACTGGCACACTGAATCCCGCCCAGCACGTGCTCTGTGATGTAAGCATGTTGCTGGGCAAGTGTGCACGGCGCAGCTCCCCTTAACCGTACCGTAGCATACGCTGCTGAGGATGATCCATTGACTTTGCCGCTTAAATGAATGACTACAGAGACTACCGGTGCTGTAGTGCGGTATCAGACAGGGCTCTTTAAAAAAAAGCCCTCTTTTGTTCCCATTTCGCGTTCAAATTTAGAAGCTTGGACATTTTAGAAAATTGCGCTCTGATTTGTATTTCCATTTCATAGCTGCTCTTTCGAGCCTGTTTTCCTAAATCCCTGATTCACTCTGGAATATGACGGTTGCGCTTTGATTTGGCAGTCGTTTTTCCCCCTCCTGTTCAGAGCAGAATGTTATCAGGGTGGCTTAAACCTGCTCGGATGCGGCCGTTGACCCGCCGGTGCTCGTGGATGTGGAAGGAAAATCAGCAGGATTACCGAGTGGAATCAGTAGATTTAATCTACAATGCGACCGGACAAAATGAACCTTGTTCACAAAAGAAGTGACGCTCTGTTTCCACAGAGCCTAATTTGTACCAGTTTGTGGGCTCGCTCTGAAGTAATACTGACAGTGCAGCATGCATGGAAGTCATTTCCTCAAACCGCAAAACAGATATGGAGCCGTAACTAAAATTATCTCCAAGCAGCACTGCTGCGGCCCACTGGGCTGCTGTTTTGAACCTTCTAACAGGCACTGCCATTTTATATTGATCAAATCATCAACTTTTAACTTTACCAGTAAACATCAGACAGGTCATATTTGCCTCAGTAACAATTGGAAGGTTATTTTCTTTTAATTTCCACCTCAAATATGTGGTTAGTATGCAGTCAAATAAATGATGTTTTAATAGGAAGTGTTTTTAATGGTTACTGTTTGTAGGCGATGCGGTTTTTCTGCATGGGGGGTAACTCCCTCATGTTGCCGGGTTAGGTTTGTGTTAAAACAAACAGTGCCATAGAGGTACTTTTGCCGTTACATCAGATCAGATAATGGGATGTCTTTGCTGAGACTTTAAGAGCCACAATCACTGGCCAGATGACCATCTTCCAAGATAAGGTCAGCACAATTTAATATGCAGATCATAATGCAGTCGCATCACAATTTCATGGTGTCTTCAAGGGACTTTAGAGCCGCTGACATCAGCACTTCTGTCTCATATGTGCCGGCTCTCCTTGATTAAGTTGTGTTGAGAAGCCAGTGCTGCCAAAGCCAAAACACTTGCTTTGGTCTAATGTGAACATGTCACTTTTAGTGTTTAACAATGATTAAAGGCCGGCGTTCCTTTATTGTATTAATTTGGAAGACTGCTCGATGGGATGGTTATATCTTATAAAACGAAGCCTTCCTGGTGCAGTAAATATTAAATCAAATAAATAATCATGAGAATGGAGATGATACAAATTGTGATGTAATTTTTTAGGAAAAATCCTCTCATCCTGATACGATTGCAGCTGTGTCCTTAATGGTTCTTTTTTGTCGTTGTAGGTTCTACGATGTTCCTAGTTTGACTTATTCAGAGCCTCTGAGCCATGATGAGCGAGATATTTCCTACTGGCGGAGGCGAGGCCAGGACTTCAGCATCCTTCTGGACTATGCTGATGGCAGGGAGCTAAGGGCCTCTGCTGGAGCGTGGAGGCCACAGGCCCTGATCTCAGCTGAGGAATACAGGGCAGAGAGACAAGCGCAGCAGCTATGGGAGGACATTTCCTGGTTAAGGGACCCAGATGCGGGCCCTGGTCAACTGAGGGTGACAGGGGAGAGGAAGTGCCAAAGTCTTGGCACAGAGGAGTGGAGGCCCGCGGTGGGCCTGGGAAGGCAGTTGTCCGATGGAGACGGGGAGAGGTGGGCAAAGGACCAGTACCGCCTGAGGACGCCCGAGGGGTTTTTTCACCCTAGAGTGAAAGCGAAGTCTCAGTCTCTCCCCAGGGTTTTGTCACCTGATGGAAATGACTGCAGAGAGCTAGTTCCATCAAGACCGAGTCTACCTGACAGACAGAGGATAAACAGCACTGTTTTCTCTGGGCCCTACAGTAGGTATGTCTATGGCGCCGGCAGGGACCGGTGGGGTAGGAATGTCGGGCCAAGCAGCCACGTTGCACTTTTACCAAAGCCCAGGTTCAGCAGGCCTTTAAAGCCTCCATCATACGAGATTCACCAGCAGACGAGGGGTAGCGCAGAAATGCTCGCTATAGAGCAGGGTGCCAAACAAAAAGACAGATCTATCTATTATCCAAGGGGTGGGGAGCTGAGACATGACTATTTCGCACAACACTCTGCCATCACTGGAATGGAGCCCCCGGGCTATATCCCGCCTCCCTCTTATAGAAGAGCCCCACCCCCAAGATCAGTTTCAATCAACCGCAACGAAGTCGCGAGTTTTAGATGGAGGGCAGAAGCCCTGCAGATGCCCATGTCAGATCCCGGGAGGTGGTTCTCCCGACAGGGATGTGGCTCGTGGCTGGAGAGCTACGGAGAGCGCAGCGCGTCCTTTCGGAAACTGGTACACTCTGGACCCGAAGAGCAGCCGGGTCATCTTCGTCAATTACCCGCTGAAGATCCGAGAGTGAAGCAAATCTCAGGAGGGCCTAGCGGAGCTTCTCTGACCGACATGGACAAAATGCGTAACATCAACAAAGAGACTCCGCCCGCTAAGACTTTAGGACAATCTACTAATGATAGTGCCTTTCCTCCCCAACAGGGGCCAGCTCTCAACACTGAAACCCGCAAAACAGCTATCACTGACAACGACAGCAGTAATCGATGGTGCAACAGGGGTATGACTAAAAAAAGTGACAGTGTAGGTCCGGAAACGAGCCGCACTCAGTTTCTTCCTTCATCCATTCTGGGCAAGCCACCACCGCCCCCATGTAAGCCGGCCGATCAGGGTGTTTCTGAAACTGTGACAGAGGTGAAGAAAGTGGAGCAGCCTGAACCGCCCGAGAAAGACAAAACAAAGAATTTAAAAAAGAGACTCAGTGAAACTATATTTTGTTTGGTGTCTGTCCCGGTCACTCCACAGCTCACTGGTACGATCCGCGATCAGAACAACAACAACGAGAAGTCTCCGGACCCAGCAGGCAGTCCCAGTGACAACAAGACTGGCCACTTAACGAACCAAAGTCTCCAAAGCACATCTTCAGCTGAAGCTGAGCTGCAAGCACTCACTGGTAGCATAGCGAGCAGCAAAACTAGCAGCAGAGCGAGCAGCAAAATGTTTAAAAAGCTGTCCTGTAGGCCTCCTAAGATAAATCACTACAAGGAGCTGAAGCTGTCCGGATCCTGGCCTGCAAACCAGTATCGAGACCAGGAGACACAAACTAGCCCAGAGGCCAGAAAACCCTCCCCTGAAAACAAGGAAGCACAACAAGAGCCCGTTACCCCCGACGCTGAAGTTGCTCCAGATAACGGCGCCGTGCTGGGCGCTGCCTTCAGTTTTCCAATTAAGGGAGTGAAGAGCCTAAAACTATCCAGTAACAGCGCCTTCTCTCTCACCTCCACCTTCTCCAGTCAGCTGAACAAGAGCACAGCTCAACAGCCAGCAGTACCACCCTCAGGAAATGTGGAGGAGACCAAACCAGCAGCAACTGGTGGCCAGGAGCCGTTTGAGCAGCTACTGCTGAAACCAACCACCCAGCGACCATGGGATGCTGTCAAGGAGCTGGAGACCATCAAAAAAGAAGTCCAGGAACAACAGAAACAGCAGATAAGCAAACAGCCCAGTGTTGACAAGTGCATAGAGGACTTAAACGAGGCCTACAAAGACATCTTAGAGCTAGGCACTGCCAGCAATAAAGTCCCAAACGGTTCTGTTCAAATCCCTGAACGCATTAAAATCCGACTGACATCCGAACCTCTCAACAAGCCCAGCAGCCTTAGGCGCAGTGCAGTAAGCTGGTCCGTTGACCCAGAATACCGAGAAGTGAAGAGCGCCTTCTCCAGGCCTGCGACAAAGTCAGTGACCTTCAGCAAGCAGCTTCGAGAGGAGCTGCCGGTCCCGCCTCGCGAGACGGGCTTCCGAGAATACAGGGTTGTTGCACATCTCTCCCGCAGAAGGAGCAACGACGGCAGGACGGTGAAACTGGACCTGCCGGACGAGCCTATCGAGACGCCACTTTGTGACTTCAGTCCAACAACGCACACTACCGCAGCCGAGGTGCCATGGGCGGACAGGCAGCCCATGCAGGACGCCTCCACACTCACCAGTCCCCCAGATTATGAGGACATATGCCAGACTTTACGCCAGCCTAAAGACCCGGCGGACGGCGGCAAAGGGCCCGCCGGCCCTTCCAGACCCAACGACACCGAGAACCTTCAAGATCTCGGCGCCGACTCCGAGGAGGACTGCCCTATTTGCAAAAGAGAGCTGGAGAATCAGATGAGACAGGGCGCACTGCCTCCGCTTCACGAGGAGAACAGCTCGGACAGCTCGGCCAATCAGAACGGCAGCCCGCCGCAGCGCGCCACGTCGGAAAGTCCGGAAGAAGGTTCAAAAACCGAGGAGCCCAACGCCTCAAGTTCCAACCAGCTGGGGTCGGAGCCACATGCCGACGCAGAGGAGAAGCATCCGTTGACGCAGGAGGGAGAGGGGGAACAAGGGGGCCAGGTTCAGGCAGAAAACTCAGAGGGAGCGCAGGCCGCCGATCCGGCTGCGGACGCGCCGGCAAACGCAGGCACCGAGTACGTTTTACCGGCCAACTTGCCGTCGGAGCCCCAAGCCGCAGAGCAGCAGGGTGCCGAAACCGTATCCAAAGAAGCGGAACCACAAGACGAGGAAGCCACGACGGGAGAAACGGCTGAGGGAAGTGCGGACAGACGGACGAGCGAGGAGAAAAGCGAGGAGGAGGATAGAGCAGCGGCCACGGACAAGCAGGAGCCAGAGAAGAGGCAGTTCACTCTGCGGCCTCTGGGGCGAGACCACCCGGGGCTACCCGAGTTCCCGCCAGAGAGACTGCCCCTTTCAGTTCCCCCCAACCTCGACCGGAGACTATCTCTCAGCTTAGAGGGGGAGAGGAGGAGCAGGGGCCCTTCCAATCGCATCGAGGCCCTGCAGACCAAGCTGGCCATCTCTCCCGGCCGGGTGGCAGTGGAGCGGCTGGCCAGGATGAGAGAGGTGGACGTCATGTGCCGCGTGAGACGCCTGAGCATCAGGAGCACTGACTCTGGGGAGGGCGAGACGGAGACGGAGGGGCCGGGCAAGGAGGAGCAGGTGGAGGAGCTCCAGCAAGAGCTCCAGCAGGAGCCTCAGAAGGACGGGGAGAACAATCAGGGGGCCACTTGCTCGCAGCAGGCCGCTGAGGAGGCAGTGTCGCAAGATGAGCAGAAGTCATCTCTCTCAGGTGAGGAAAGAAATCAGTCCTGCTACTGTTCCCTGAACAAAACAAAAAAAAGCTTTTTCTGTCCTCTGCCAAATGGAGTTTTTTTTTTTTTTCTCTGTGTGACAGATACTGCAGTTCCTTTTCGTGCATGCGACATAACTGTGTTTTCCCTGTGAGATAAAAGTGGTGTTTTGTGAATGAACATGTTTCTTCCCAGAACCCAGTGATCCCAGCCAAGCGGAGACAGTGTAGAAAAACTGCGTCCATCATCTCCATCTGAGGTTTTAAGCTCCAACACTGTGACCTGGCTGCCTACTAGAATGCCTTCATCTCATCTTGACACTGAAATGGCCTTCTTGTCCGACAAGAGCATTGTGTACACCTTCACCCTCGGCGCTGCATTGACTACTAAGAGTGCTGTTCCACTGCCAAAAGGGAGGCGCCCTGTTAACCTGTGGGGCAACTTCCATCCCGAATCCCTCCCCAGCCTTCCCAAACTGACTTCCCACCTCCCCCATCTGTCCTCCATACCCAGCCCCATTCTCTATTAGGGTTTCTACTAGTTAGTCTTCTTGTAGCGGCTTGTCCTTTCTCTTCTTTCCTCCCGATGCGTTTCTCACTGGCAGACATTATGCAATTCTGTCCCGCATACTCGAGCTTCGAAAAACGTCCACTGCGAAAGCATTTTTTCGCACACCCCAGCGAATATGTTTGGTTGTGGGGGGTCTTAGTTCCGGACATGAATGTAAGTGTTTTAGTTGTAGCCAACGGAGAGACAGAGAGAAATAGGAGGGGGGGGGGGTGACTTTCACAGACCTGTTATGTTGCTTTCAAACTACACCAAAATAAACTGCGTATCTGATTGTGGTCAGGCGACAGCTGTTCGACAACTGGACTTCACTGTCTTTGGCTAAAGAACTGTTTTGATTTTCGGAGGAGACAAATGCGCCTTTCTTTTTTAGATATCTCACCACATTGTGCTCCGTCTCATTGCTTTTGTGCACACCGCAGCCATGACCCATACATACTGTAGATCTCTTCAGTGAAGAGTGACTGCACCACATGACATGGCAGATGACAGGTGAGCGGCTGCCCGATGGCGTTGGTTCCACACAGTGGAGCTCCTGGTTCCATCAGGGGACCTCTCTGATTAGTACCCGATCAATTCAGCGTACTGCTCAAATTTCCGGGTGCATTTCTAGAAGCAAGAGAGACGCAGATTGAGTCGAGGTGGAGCGCTGGTCGGCAAATTTGATTATCATAACCACGGATTGAAGGATTTAGGACAAAAGAATATATGTAGAGCAATACTGTTGTATTAACAACCCAGTGGTGTCGTGGGGCGACCTGTAGGAACCAATTTTCAGAAATCTTAATGTGAACATGTCATTCAGATCATATTACAGGGAAATGGAATTGTGTCAGGGTATTTAGGGTGGGTGCTTTTCTTCATCATATTTATAGATATATAGATATATATATATATCATCATTCATTTGTGTTGTAAAAAAAAAAACATTTCATCGAGTATTTATTTTTTTTATCATTAAATTGTTAATCAGTTTGCATAATGTACAAAATAAAGTATATTTTAAATATTTTAAGAGAAATTTTGTATTTAACCATGAAATTTTTATTTCTCCACACTTATATTCCAACTGAAAGTATCATATCTGTGTATAGTATCTTATTGAGAATTTACATAATTTTCTAGTGCTTTAATATTTATCAGAGAGATATAAGAAGGAGTGACCCTGTGGTGTGCCTTGATCACACGGTTTGGTCTGAGTGAGCGATAGGGTTCACCACTGCGAGAGCTGACGGGACGGAAACTTTATGATTGTGCCATGATTTCCTATTTGATAGTGCTTTTTCATATGCTAACAGAGTCTGTGTTGGACGCTCCTTGTGATATTTGATACATCAGCCCATCTAAGCTGTGTTTCCTATGTTGGTGGTCGGACGAGACCTGTGTCTTATCTTTGTCTTTGTATGTCTTCCAGTCCATGTATTGTTATGTTGTCGTTCCTCGAAACACGTTGACAAATAAAATTTGGATTTTTTTCTTTTCTTTCCTTCCACCCTTCCTTGTTTCCCTCTTTCCTCCGAACTCCTTCCTTTCCTCCTCTGTTCCTCTCATTTCACGGCGTGCTCACTTTTGTGTACAATGTCCTGCTGCCACCGACACTTATTGCACTACAGGATACAACGCTGTATGCTATTTCAGGCCACATATCTGCAAACAGACACCACAATAAACCTGGGGATAATTTTAATACCTTAATTCCAAGTTGTGGTTGCGATAGAGTTTGCAGTTATGTTTTGTTATGTTTTCCCGCATCATCACTGTCGCATTAGTGTAACACGTTCACGACACAACTGCAGGACTCCATCACTTATTCGTTATGTAGCATTTAGCCGCTGTAGCATTTGATCAGCTCAGACCTGTCCTCACTACTCAACATTTCTTGTAAATCTGGACCGCCCGTGTCGCCTTATTCTGTGTGCGTCGCATTATACTCCGGAAAATGCCAAATATTAACGTACTAAAGCACTGTTTCACACCTTAGGTTTTTACAGACAACTTACTGTCCTGCAACTCCTCTGGCTGAAGGAGAACAGTAGCATTGTGGATCCTTTCCGCCCATCGTGCTGTTTATCTGGATCACTGGAACACAGAGAAAACAAACTGTGAAATGAGAATACCACTAAAAACGTAACTCTACCCGTGCACGGGAAAACGTGTAGGGTGAGATTACGTGACTGAAGACAGGGCCATAGTCAGCATCACAGGGAGGACAAGCTGGCTTGCCCACGATTACCAACACATCTCATCTTAAATTCATTTTGAGCACTGAGCGGCCTCGGCCTCGTGCGGAAACTGCCCCGAACAACATTCAAATTGCTATTTCAGTGCATACACGCCCCCGCCCCCCCAATAATTGGCATGTCAGGTACACTCGAACATAGTGTCATTTGACCTTTTGTACTGCAGGTTATGTGCAAACTCGAAGTTCTTATGCACACTTGTAATATTTTCTATTTTCATATGAGATTTAAGTGCTTTTTGTACTCACTGACATCTTTTTTTCTTCCTCGCAGGAAATGCAAGAGAGAGGAAGGAAAAAAAGTGTTTTTCATAAAGTATATTTGCATTTGGTACTCCAACAGTGAAACCAGTGGGCAAAACATTATGTTTCATAATTTCATTTAGAAAACTATGCCAAGTATTTCAAAGCTATTTTTAGAGGAAATCAAAAGAAAACTCATTCATTTTTTTCCTTTGAAGACATGCCTTTATCTTTGTATCTATAAATACGAGCATAATCCATAGTCATATGATTGTGCTACTGTTGTATGATAATGCAGTCTGATTCATAAATAAACTCTTTGCATGAAAATTGTGTTTGTGATCAATCGCTCCGTCACATGTTTGGTGAATCAGTGCATATCAGCTGTGTATCCCCATATCGGCTGCTGAGATTTGTCATTATTTATTAAATACTGACTGTATGCAAAGAATGAAAAAGCAAGAGGAAAATGACATCAACAGGTCTCACACTTGTCAAAGCGCTGAGCTGGATTATTCCAGACATGACTTCTGCTCCTTGGGCAATGCTAATGCATTTTGTGTTAATGAAACAGAGCATATGTGCACAAATATGGGTGTCTTTTCACATATGCACACTTGTGTACTGGCAATTTCAGCCCAATTATCCTGCCAGACTGTCACACTGAGCTCCACTTGCTGGATCAAAGCTTTGGCAAACACAATACTTGTGCAGAACCTTGTAAAAACCTCCCAGCATGCGCTTTGGAGAGCATCCATCTCCCGCAAACTCCTCTGTATAGCATATTTTTGGAGAAGCAGAGTAAGAAGTCAGAGTGGTACCTTCTGCTGTGTGGTTTCTTAATGATTCTGACTCAGGAGGTAAGCTGGTTATATGGGCGGTGGGCTGGGACAGAGGGGACAGACATCCGCCTGACTGATGTTCTTGTGGGACTATAGCTACAGGGACCTTAAGAAAGCTGTGCAGAAACCAATGCTGCAAAACTCAATGAAAAAATGCTAGATAATCAAAGAGTTGCATTAAGTAAATAAAAAAATTCAGCTAATTTGTTCTCAGTATGTGGATTTTGGCCTGTTAGAAGACAAAATCATGGTGCGATATTCCACGTGGTGTTTATAATATGGACATATCTTCATTTTAAGACTTGCCATGGATCCAATGAATCACCACTATATCCAGATTTACAGAGACCGGGCATTAAAGAGGCTATGCTTTCTGTTTAATGAGACTATTCTTAAAAAGCAGCTTAAGGTAGCCCTCAGACCCACGAATGTAAAAAAAAAAAGCAATTGCATACTGAAAGAAACCATTTTAAATCATTATGAAATCCGCATGCAGCTTTGCATCCTTCTCAGTTTTGTTTGCACCCGCTACAACCTGTTTTTGACTCTTTATCCAACTGCTGCAAACAATTAGAAAAAGAGGGGTGCCGACATGCCCTGCGTTAGTGAGTGGCGCCACTAGATGGAGACATGCGACACAAACTAACACAGGAGCCAACTCCTTTGACCTGTTCGTCTCCGTGAGTAAGTAACAACACCACAATTTCATAATGAGGGCAAACTGATGCTACTGCTGATCAAGGTTCTCAGAGTCAGGCCCTAACTCATAGCTTCTGACAATGTTCTTACATTTACACTCATTTATTTTTCAGAAACTGTCAGATTTGTCACTTGATGATAGTCTGATTGGACTTTTTAGATTAATCACAAGGTTCAAAGGTTCAAAGATTGGGTGGGTATTTGTGAACCCAGGTTTGGGGATTAAAATGACAGATTTGATGGGAAACCACTCAAATGCTTTTTATTCATTTATACATATCTTTAAAAAATCATGAACACATAACATTTCTGAGTTGGAGCCTTGTATAAGTGATCAGCTCCCAGGCTCAAAGCGTGGCCATGATGAAGCACGCTGTAAAGTGGGCTGTGAGAGCTGTGTGAGGGCAGTGTTGTAGGACGGGAGGATCCCCCTGCTGCCGGACTGTGGTTCGAACAGCTGATTCGATCCCCCCATGCGCTGGAAGCCTAACGCTTCCACGGCTATTTATGGCAGATGCCCCCTCTATCGGCCGCGCTGTCTTCAGCCCATACATGGTTGCTGTGGGATGAGGTTACACCGCTGGTTTTGGCCCGCGCTCCCAAACCTTTTGGAAGCACCGTTACAATCAGTTTAACCGCCATCCGGCCCGGGTCCCACACCTGGTTTCACAAGAATGGACATCTTATAGGCCACTTTTCGTCACCTTTGGAATAGTTAGAAGACTTGCCTGTAGAAGTGCTCTTGTGTTTTTTTTATTGTTTGATTTTTTTTATGCCTTGTCCCCTTTTTCATCCCAGTCCTTTATTTCCCTCTTATCCTGCATAGCCCACTCCCCTTTGCTTTCTCTCCCTCTCCCTTCTTCTGTTCCTTCCCTCGGTTGTTCCTGGACTGATTTATTTGGCCTGCAGCGGCAGAGATAGAGGGAAAGCACCGGGCTATATTTGTCTGCTGCTGAGGCTGGACTAGCTTTAGGGTAGATGACCTAGGATCCTGTGTTTGGGTTTACCTGCTCACTCCAGCACCTCCTGTCTCCTCAGCATCAGCTTTGCTTCGGCTAAGGACCTAAGTTTCTCCCGTCAGGATAAATGGACCTCCCCAGCACAGTGCCTTTCTCAGTGCTTTGCAGGCTGTAAGTATAATTCTCTCTTTTTTGTCTAATCCTCTGTTTGACACGGCGTGTGGAGCAGGTTAGTCTGTGACAGGTCTGAGGAAGGCCAGCAGAAAAACTGATTAACTTCATTAAACATCTCACAGTCGGCCGCTGTGTTTGTGTTACTCTGTCAGTTCGTTTTAGTTCATTTTGATGCGGCAGATTGGAACACGTGAGAGTGAGGCACTTTTTTCTACACCGATCAGAGTAAATGGGGAGTTTAAAGTTTAAAGAGGGTCCCTCAGATCCAGCCCCCCCATGTACCAGCAGGGTACTGAACTCTTATAACTCTTTAAGTTATTTGACTGGAGTCACGTTAAAGATCTGTCCTCTGGAGGACTGAGAGCAGTGTCCCAACTGAGTCTGCCTCTTTTTTACTTTGCACTCATGTCTCGAGTAACCGCGTGGGGTATTAGCATACCAAACAGCAGATTATAGCTGTATGGCGGTATGCGTGTGCAGCTGATCTGCCGGCTGTGCGTCCTTCCAACGCCGGCCAGGCAGCGTTTCCCCACAACTTTGTTTTTTTGCAACATGTGTTTTTGTGCGCGTGCGTGGCCGCGGCTGTGCGTTTGTGCGGCTGTGGGGTTGTGCGGCTGTGGGGTGCCGCTCTGCACCTGCTGCTCCCATCAAAAACCCACAGACAGATTTACAGGCCGGCCCCAGGCTCGACCCTCCGCCGCGCGGCTCGGTTCCCCCTTCGTGTGGGAAAAAAAAGACCGGCGTAATTCTGTGAGGTGCCATGGACCCGGGCATTTGCACCCAAACACTTTGTACTCTTAATATGCTTTGTCGGTCAGCAAATCCGAACAAACCGCTTTCGAGGTTTAGCCACGTTTCACCTTTTCTTATAGGCCAAGGTTCTGTTTACATTTCACAAAGTTGAGGTATCTCTTTTGGTCTGAGATGATCTTTGGACTAGTTGTTTATCAGCTGCTTTTGCCGCTCAAGAATTTAAACATTTACCTTTTCTCTCATGGATCTTTTTTTTCACTCAAACTGCCTCCTTCCATCCTCATAAGTGTTTCAGGTGGAAGAGATTCTGTTATGCGTATGCTGACCTCTCCCTGAATGAGTGATGGTTGCTATTTTTCCAAAATGTTCTGCAGACACGCCATGCATAACCAACGGCAAATAGTTTTCTGGTTTGATTTTATTCAGTTTAGTGGAAATTAATCTGTTAAGGTGTTCAGAGAACTATTAGGCAATAGTAAATGCTTTGTTTGGTCAATTTAGACATGTATAAAGAAATGTATCACAATCAGTACACATGTTCTAAATTTTATATAGCTAGTTTTCATACATACAGATTTATTGGCGTTTACAGGCCATCAGTGGTTTAGTTTTGAAATAGTTTACGCACAGTGGCTTTAATCTGGGTTGTTATAAACGTCTAACCTGTCATCGTCTGTTTATGTGTAAAAATATATTGTTCACCACTTAAATTAAACAATGGTACAGAGTTAGAAGATGTTTCTCAAATCTTTCTCCCTCTTTGCTCCCATCAACTCTGTCTATTTACTGTTCCTCCTCCTCTGCCTGAGAGCTGCGGAGCTCCGGCCGTCTCCTCAGCACCGGCCTCTTTGCTCATCGATATCCTTATAAGAGCAGAGCAGGCAGATTTTCGGCACAGAGTGTCAGGCAGAATTGATGCTAGGCAGCAGTGAGGAACGCAAATCTGGGTCTGGAAATGCCAGAGTAAATGTTTAAGGAGGGAGGAAGGCAGCAGGTCACAGCTGCGCTTTCTCAGTCTCACATTTGACCCTTTGTGTTATTGTGCGCACTTCCTCTGCATGTCTGCAGACGTGTTTATGTTTGTTTGTGCATGCAAATGTCTGCAAACAAAAGATAAGTTGTGCAACATAAACCAAACAGAGAAGATTTCTCCAAATAAAGTCAGACCAACATGGAGCCCAAGGGCCTTCACTATTTTACACAAACTAACATCTGAAATAACATTCAGTTTATAGGTGAGCAAAACAAATACTTTGACTTCTCTAGTAAATGTAGAAAATGTTTGTTCTACTATTTGAAAAGTCCTCTGGGGTCAACAGGATGTTATGCAGTTCATATGTTTAAGTAAAACGATATGCAAGGAGTTTGTGTAAAATAAAAATGAGAACTAACCGAATATTATCAAAGATTTATCACAGAAAAAGCTTAATACAGCAGACTGACACCCTTTTCACCCAAAAAAAGGACCTTGCATAGGAGCTGATGTTTTTTTTTTGTGAGTTTAAATGGGATCGCTCTGCTTTGACATCAACACAGAACAGTAATAACACATGCTCAATTAAAAGAGCAAAACTCAAGTTTGAGTCAGAGAGAAATGCTTTGTTGCCGAATCAGGCAGAGATTTGTGAAGATGCTCTGCCTCTGTGATGTTTACAAGATGAGGATGATACGGGGAGATGTTTTGCATTTTGTTTAAAAAATTCAGACACAATTCAAATCACAGCCAGTGGCCGTGTTGTGCGTGGTCTCCTATTACTGAAGGTATGTCAAGCTCAAAAACAACTCTGCACTTGGCTGAGATCCTCCTGACAGCTGGGGGTGTGTGTGTTGGGGGGGGGGTTACATGATAACGGGCTGCGTGACACATGTTTACACCAAAACTCCTCTTATTTCCTCTAAATTTATGCTAAATACATAAACATAAACATAAACATTTTAAAAGTGAAGCAGTGGTATTATATATTTCTTTTATTTTGACATTCAAAAAACGTCTCAGTGAGTTAGAATTCCACCCAAACAACAACAATGATCAAATGATCAAAGAAAGAGACCACTTTAGGCCTGTGTTGTCCCCGAAAACCAATAAGATTTGAGAAAACTTAAGGCGCCACGATGGTGAAATGTTGAGGAGACAGCTCGGTGTTGGGATTGCACAGGAGGAGCTGAAGAGGGGGGGGGGCGTTCTGGAGAATGAAAGTGGTACCGGAGTGGGAAGGCAAACCAGGCGTGCACAACGTCCCCTGTAAACATGGCCGAGGAGGCACCCTCCCAGAGGTAGCCACTCACAACACACGTTGCCTTATTAGGGGTGTCTACAGGGAGCAGAGGCAGACTGGGGAAGGTAGGGGGGTGGGGGGGGGTGAGGGTTAGTGTGTGAAAGGGTGAGAAAAATCATCACAGAGGAGGCGAGCGAGTATACAAGTGAGCATTTCCAAGACTGAGCAAAAGCCCCAGCGTGGGGTCTCTCTGGTGTGGTGACAGTTTGCTCTGGTGGTCCGGCCTCTAAATGGGGGGAAAGGGACAGCGGGCGATTGTGTTCCTCTATGTGTGGGTCCTGAGAGGGACTGGATCACTGCACAGGCTGTGGATTGCCTCTGGGACAGTGTCCAACTGAATGGGATCTGAACCCAAAACCAGGACCTGGTGGGCGATGTGCTGTCTGTCCTGTGAAAAAACAACCAACCCATGGTCTCATCTACCATAAAATGATGATGATCTCAAAAGAAAATGTGCAATATACATTATCCCAGACCCCAAATATAGCAGTTTGATAACAAATGGAGGACTGTTCCTGCTTTGTGAGCCTGCAATTGTATTTTGGTCTCACTGGAGATGAGGTGCAGACTTGTGATGATGCTGTGACAACGTGTCATAACTCTCATGAAAATAAATAATATCACTGAATTTTTTTTAAAAACGACAAAAAAATTAGAAACTTTGATCCTCCATGGCTACTGTTTCTCTATTTGCTGCTGTTTCTCTACTTAAACACAGCTTATTCGAAAACTTGCAGCATTTGCAGATTTGTGAGGAACTGAAACATTTTCTGAGAGATCTATTCAAATTTGAAGCATTCATATTTAAGCAGGGAAACATCTCAAATCTGCAGGACAGTGGCAGTTTGGGTTCCTTGATTTAAGGTTTGACAAAGGTTTGGTGTTCCAACACTCAATTTCAAACTATTTTCTGACTTTTCTGCCCTGCCTTTGTGTGTGAAATGTGATGGCTCCGTTCAGCTAAAAGTGCTGTTTTTAACCTCATTAGCTTCAATAAAGACTTCCTTATTGAACCTCCAGAACAGCTTGCCCATTCTTGCCACTTGCAAAGTGGAGCTGAGTACTTAACCTACATGCTCTTTTAACCAATGAAATAAGAGGCTAGAAAGCTATCAGGTGAACTTGGCACAAGTTCGGTGGAGAAGACAGAAAGCTCTCTAGAGACATGGGAGCCCAGAGCAAGCTGAGTTAGCTTAACTCAAGAACTTGTATGGGAGCAACAAGCTGGCTGTTGATGTTGTTTTCATGTTGATGAAAAAAAGTATCCACTCAGCCAGCCCTCATTCATGCATTTTTAAAACCGAGCCCAGTTAGCATGGCTTTGTTAACCCAGCTAGCCAGTTTAGCTAAGCTAGCTTTCCCCAGGGCTTTCCCCATGAGCTGAGATCTCCAAGCTAAGAACTAATCTAAGAGCTCTCGATCTGGCAAGTTAGTGACCAAACAAGCTCTGACCCAAAGCTAAGCTCTTATTGGCTTTCTGGCAGGTAGACAGGGTTGGCTCACCTCCTGAGCAAAAGCTGTAGGTCTTAACTGCCAAACGGTGGCTTTGCAATAGGCCTACTCTTGAAACCAGTTTGATGCTTTCACTTGCATGGTATTGTGTACAATTATGTTATACAATTATTCTCTGAATTCTGGCTTAGACGTTTATAGATTGATTATTGAAAGATATCAGAAGACACAGAATAACAGCAGTACACAAGATAGTAGAAGGAATAGGGAAGGCAAAATCAATGAGTATTTTAATATAGCACCTTTTGCAGAAAGAGTAAAAATATTGGATCTGTTTTAAGATTATGATTTTTTTGTGCTAAAAACGTATATGTGGACAGCACGAGTTTTATAAGGCATTGGTATATGATGGAATGGTGATGTTGGTGACTACAACAGTGACACGCAATGACAAAAATGTTGAATACACATAAAAATATATGCAATGTATACAAAAGACAGGTATAGAAAATAAAAAAAATATTCAAAAATGCTTTGGAATCTATCTTTGCTAAAAGTATGATGTTTTTTGTCTGCATTCCATAACAAATTTGTGATATTTTCCTCAGGTGTTTCTGCACCTGCTGTGCAGAATCATGTTATCCAGGAGTGTTAAAGAATGTAAGAGGGTGGAGAAAGTTGGTTAGGAATGACAAAACAGGACTTTACGAGAGCCTAAAGCGGAAACTAACCGCAACAACGGGGATCGGGTTCGGGAAGATTCGGTTTTAGTTGCGCGTGGAAGATTTTCCTGTCAATGACTCCTCGATAGAACTTGTGTGTTTGGCTGAAGTCATTCGATATCATCTCCCCATCTTGGCCGACGTGTGCCTGATGAGTGCTTGTATTAAGCAACCATCTGACTTCCAGTAGTCCTGGACCCCCTACCACCCCCTGCCGCCCTGCTGGCACCCTCCTCCAATCCTGTTGCAGAGTTTTTATCATCAAGGCTAATTTCTGCCTGTAATCTGATTAGGCCTCTGAGCTGCTTTAGCGCCCTGCTGTGCTGTCTCTCCCTCTTTCTCTCTTTGCTCTCATACGTGCACACACAGACTGACGTGCACACCGACTCCCACGCGCGGGTTCGACTGCCGGTGTGTGTGGGTTGCAGGTGGCGTCGGCTGTGTGCGCTTGCGTGTACGTGTGTGTGTGCGTGTGCTGATGGGGTTGTGTCACCACCTCCATCCCTGCTCGCCTGCTTCCTGGTAGCTGAACCTCATACCGTGTTTGCTGTTGTCGTTGGCCGCCGTCACCACCACCGTGAGCGTAGGGGAGTCCAGCAGCGGGCCGTCCTCCTGCTCCCCTTCTCAAACATGTTTCGAAACCCATGGATCTCTAGTTACCACGTGAACCATGTGCAGCCCTGTAGGCAAGGTAAGGCCCTAAAGGACGGGGAGAGGTTGGTCTGGCTTCGGTTTGGCTTTCTTCAGCTCCTTGAACGTCGCCAACTGTGACTGTGAAAACTTGTTTTGAAGCAGTTTTTACTTCTGATAGAAGGAAATCACAGTCGAAGACAGAGATGTGAGTTTATCTGGAAAGCTTTGACTTCTTATGTAGCTTCTCCTTGGTCAGATTGGATTAGAGCAACTCATCATGAGGACTGTCTGCGGTGCGTTTTTGTCTATCTTTTTGCAATTTGCCAGTCACTTATTACCAAAAGCCTTTCACAGACACCACAAGGAGTCTTACTGGATTTGTCCTGTTCCTGTTCCAAACAAATTGTGTTGAAAGTGGAGTCCTGGTGCGCTCAGGGAGTCTATTTTGCACCTCTGAATATTTATAGAAAATCCCTCTCCTCGCCACTCTGACTTTTGGACCGTCAGCAGCCTAAGCTGCTATCTGGCACCGTCCGCCTTGAGCCTTGTGCTGCTTGTTTAGCTGACAACCTGCAGGCGTCTCCAAGGAAAGCTGAACTGACACCTGCACAGGGGGCTTCCACCAGAGACAGGAAGCATGTTTGTGAGGTCGCAAACAGACACATGCTCGCACACCTCCACCAGGTTATGACAGGCGGTGATCATGTCTGTGGATTTTTAGAGGAAATAGCGTGAAACTAAGGTGGTCATTTGGAGGTTTTATCTACAGCATTGAACTGGCCCAGAAGCAAAAGTCCAGCCCAGATGTTTGCTCCATCAGATGTTTGCTCCTCTGATGTCTGAAGTTTCCCAAAAGCCCTTGAGCTTCACCCTCTGTGGGATTTCGCCCGTTGCTTCTTCTCTCAGAGAGGTGCTGCGTGACTCCCGGTTCCAGGAGGCCAAATAAGTCAGAGGTGTTCTGGAGGTGTCTGTTGCAGTAACATGAGCCGGGCCCCTATACTGGGATCCAGCGTTACAACAGGCTGCTGCTGCTGTGACATTAGAATGAGAGGAAGAGCTGGGAACTTTTCCTTTTTCTATTAGCTTTGACATGTCTTGGTTGGTCGTAGCTTGAGCGACTTTTTGAATGAAGAAAGCGGCGAGAGGCTTGACTTGTTTTATGATTTTTTTATGCATTAGCCTTCCGAATATGAAGCATTGTAAAACTGCTGGTTTTCCTTTAATAACATAAGATTGAAATTAATCTAAAGAAAATGCTTACAAAGTCCAAAGACAAAGTGCACTACACTAAGAGAAAAGTATAACATATCGGGCTGTTTTGCAAGAAAATACGTTATTGTGTAGCAGACACAAAATGCTGGTAGATGTTATTAAGAAACCAACCCTTTGCTTCTTGCGAATGCAGGACGAGCAGCAGCGTTGGTGAAAAAGATTAAGACAGATTTTGCAGAACAAAGTAGGAAATCAGATTAATAGCACTTAATTTGCTGATTGTTTTTTGCAGTCATTAGGATCTGAAGCGGAAACTTATCCGTGCACACCTCCACAGAAACTATTGGGGCGGTGCTGCATCAGCAGTTTTTGTGGAAAACCCCCCCTCGGATCTGCCAGGGCAACCTGAAAATGTGTGTCGCACAGACACAGAGACAATGGAAGTGGTTTATTCATGCTCCCCAACGACGTCACAGCAGAACACAGTTAAGAAACTTAAAGTTACAAGTAGAGAGACTCGTTTCTGTGGAGAAAAAAACAACAAATAAGAAGGAGATCTCATCATGCGTCCTTGAGTTGTTTATTTTGATCTCATTTGCTCATTTTTAGGAACATTCTCCTTGCTATTCCTTTCCGTTTCTTGAGATGATAATAGCTTTACCCTCCAAGTGCATGACCACGTGGTTTCATTTGGTGCATGGCACAGTTAGAGTTACTAACAGTTCAAATAACTGTCCAATTCAGTGTTGAACAGGACAGTTCAGTTCCTAAAACGCTGGTTTACAGACACCTAAAACTGTTTCCTTCTTCCTCATTAAATCATGCTTTTGTTCTGTTTTTCTCCTCTCAGGATTTGGATCTAAAACTCCAACCAGACTTTGCAATTCAACCTCACTCCCAACAGACACTTTAAGGTGGGCCAGTGAGAACTTTCTTTTCTTTCACACAGTGCAATCACTTCACTCAGACATGCAACATGTGTAACTGAATAATAAATGTCTGCCTTAGCAGGCAGCGGACAGGGAGCAAATCCACAGAAACGACATTGTGCATATGCATTCCCCTCTAATCAATAGACTCATATGTAAGCACATAGATTTACCAGGACTGCTTTAGCTTATCATGCTTAGCAAAAAGCTGGAGATGTCTGGAACAGCTTATACTAAGACACTTTTTGTTCACATGGCATTAGAGCCATAATACCTCCCTTCGGGCTGCTCTCTGTGCCGCAGACCCTTTTCCTGCAGTAGTTTACCTTTACCTTGGTCCAGCTGCTTCAATACCAGAACATTAGAGATCCAGTAATGTGAAGGAAGTCATTTTCCCCCTAGAGAAACTGAGCAAACAGGTGTTCAGTCCTAGAATGAGTCCTGATGAGCCCTGATTGTTGACTTGATTAAAAATGAAAATTGAGTTAAATTAAATTAATTGAAAATATAAAAACAAAACTTATTTTTAAAATGAAAAACCAGCGTTCTTGTTGAATAATTAGTTTGATCACTTTGGGAACTGCAAGATAGGAAAGGGGTGCGATTTATCTTAGGTTTTAGGTTTAAATGACCTATTAAGACAGCAAGGAAAAGAAAATATCTGAACCACTTTCCCCCCAGAGGAGAGACAGGATCTAATGACCTAATTCTTTAGCCAGATCCTGACATTAGTGACACCAATAGGTTTCCACCTTAACCTGCATTTACCCCTTAAACACCTTAGCAGTGCTGAACACCAGGAGAATGACCTAAATGAAGTCCAGACGACACATTTGATCTTTTCTCTGATGCTTCTGCTGGATTCTAGTGAATGATTTGCTGATCTCATTTAAGTTTCCAGAGTGACTTCTCCTTGAAGGCAAAGACCACCTTGGTCAAGAGCGTTTCAGACACAGATGCCAAACTTCTCGTCGCCCTACCAAAGGGTGTGTTACACCAACACAGAACAAGTCACTTTACGCATTTTTATCAAATAAAAAAAGAATCTAAATTAAAACTCTTCATGCTTTCAGTGTCAGAATTGAAGAAATACTTTGAGGGAGCAGTCTCCAAAGATCAGGGGATGAACAGGTGAGCCACTGTTTCACCTTAAACGCATCAGACTGGCCGTTTAACAGATTAGTAATTGGCTGACCTTCGTGCGCTGGTTTTGGTTTGTCCCTCTCAGGAAGGAGAGGATAGCCCGGCGCCTGGAGGGGATTGAAACGGAAGCGCCCCCCGCTCTGGTGCCCGGTGGGTTGGTGGCCAACAGGATGCTGGAGGAGGATCCGCCGCGGTACACCCGTGCCTCAGACCCATGTGAGCCTCGTGTGATGGGTAAGCATGGCATGATGGACTCTGGGAGTCCTTGACTCTGCCTGTTAAGGAGCTGGATTAACCCTGCTTACATATGTCCTGCTGACACGTTTGTCATTCAGTATTTATACACATGTTGTACTTTAGGCGTTTCACTTTTTCTATCCATGTTTGACATTTTCAAGAATACAAATCATGGATGCCAGTGATGTGTTCAACTACGTTATATTCCAACACTAGTGGCGTCAGAAGAATAGGGGCTTAATCTGAACTGGACAAAAGTCACATAAAACATTGTGAATTAGGTGAATGAATTCAATCTCAGATGGACAACACGTAGCTTTAAATAATCTGTCTTTCGCATTGTTTTCTTGGACTTGAAGTAATCGTTTGGCTCATTACGGTGAGAAATGGCTGGTGTGAAGCAGTTGTGCTCTGTGTGTGTTGTTCAAACCTGAGCCGTCCTGCCGTGTTCTTTTTCCAGCGAGGGGGCTCTCTGTTTCAGCCCAAAACAAACCAGCGCTACCTGTTCAGTGTTTTTCGAGCTGTACTATCCTGACCTTTGACCTTTAACCTGCTAACGGAGGCCTGTAGAGTCGGAGGTGTAGCTCGTGGGTTTTCGACCTTGGCGTTTCCCAGTTTCCCTGATTGCTTTTCACATGTGAATAATCCTTCTCTCTGTAGAAAAAGATGGACTCCAGATAGTTTGGAAATGGCTATCTGACCTTTCCCAGATCGATGGGCAGCAACAGCTGCTTCTCTGAGGTCGTTGCTGATGTCTTTCCTCCTTAACGTGCAGTGAAATTGATCAGCAACATCTGGCTGCTGCTTAATGTCTTCATTTTCATGATTGCAGTGAGGATGCATTTTGTATTTTGGTCAATTTTTCTTCAATAAGTAACGACCTGAATGGTGAAAAATCCTGTCTTGTTGTTCATTTAAGGCTGCACTTGCCCGAAAGATGGTTTGCCGGATTTTTAACATGATGTTGTGAGTAAAGAAGGTTTTTTGATTGTTTCCCACAGTGAGACGCTACGGCCGAGAGGAGCTGGAGGCACCACAGAAGAAGCTGTCGTCTCCAGACAGGTCATCTCAGGTCAAAGGAGGCGTTGGCGGCGCCCGCCCGGAGCCCGTCGTGGTGTATGTCGACCCGGTCACGCTGTCCACTGCCTCCACGCCCACATCTGGCCCCACGGACTCCACCAGCCTCAGCTCCAAGGCCGAACGCATCGCCCGTTACAAGGCCGAGCGCCGCCGGCAGCTGTCGGAGCGTTACGGCATCCTCCTGGATCAGGAGGCCGAAATCGACTACACGCCGCGCTACCGTTCCAGGCGGGACCCGGACACCGCCGAGCACCAGGCGCCCGCCAGGCGAGACAGGGACAGGTCAGAGCCGGAGGCCCAGAGAGGGGATCCCAGGGTGCCCTACAGGTCTGGAGTGGGCCGGGTCTACATGAGGACACACCCGGATCCTGCGCCTGCCGACACGGCTGGCCCCGCCCACCCACATCAAGCCACACCCCCCAATCAAGACAGACCCAATCGGTTTTCGGAGCGGGAGAGGGCGATGAATGTGGAAAACTACCGTCGCGGTGGAGCTCAGGAGCGCTCTTCAAGAGCCAGGAAACAGGAGCAGCAGCAGCCGCAGCAAAAAGAGCCCACCCACCAAGGGACGGCCCCCCAGGAGCAAAACCCCGCCCCCGCCAGGGACTACAGCATCGCCGCAGTGCCGAGCTCCCCCCGCACTGCCCGCCGGGCATCCCTCCCCTCCCCTCGCTACGGCATCTCACCTGGAGATTTATTCATAGAGCAGCAGGCTCAGAGCATCCTCAGCAGGCAGGGGTAAGTGTGCAACGCCCACAGAGCTCCTCCCATGATGGCTGCCACGGCCAATTGTTCAATCAGACTCTCTGTGCTTCCCACTGATGGTAGGACAGGGATGTCACGGCTGTCAGTTTCTATTCCATGAAGTCAAAGAGCTCCATAGCCAGACAAACCTCTTCTCATGTGTCCCATTTACTTTTTATTTAGTGCATACATTAACAAAAAAAAATTGACTCAACTTAGAAAGTTTGAATCTCAATGACGAACTGTTTATTATGAGACCCAAATAAGGGAAAATCACACAGGAGAACAGAGATACTATATATATATTTTAGCTTCCCTTCAGCTTTGGCTGTCCTTCTGCTTCCACCTCTCTGCCAGCACTGAGATCTTTCTAGACCGAGTCCTGCTCCAGTTTCACATAGAAAGCTGTTCTGGGGAGCTCATGACTGAAAGGTTGGAGGGTAAGAGGGAAGAGTGCAGTCTTGGGTTATGGAGCGGATATGATTCTCCGTGTCAAGAGATCAAATTGGTTTTAAAAGAGTCAGTCACTTTCTATAACAAACAGTCCTTCTCAGGGGAGTAAGCAAAGAGGGACGGCAGTTGATGGCTTCCTACGCTGAGATCGAACAGCTATAAATAATGCTGCTCGTGTTTAGGAAAGCTGATATGTGTTACAATCAGGGGTTATGTATCGGCGTGTTCGTCAGGCTGAGCAACATAATTGTTCGGACCTGAAAATAGCAGGGATTCTGATACTTTGAAAAGGCTTGGTCACAAGTTCCGCTGGGAGTCTGACACTGTCACCACGTCATCCTGCAGCCTGGCTGCCCGGTCAAAGAGCGACTGGTGTCTCAACACAGACCCAGAGGGTGACAGTCAGACAGCCTCCTGCTGGCCATCAAGGTACCGTCCACCTGTGATGCGTGTGAAGCCCCGGCCGGCGCCGCGGTCCACTCGATACATGTGTTTCCATCTGCCAGCTCTTGCAGAAGAGCTGGTTGTGGCTCCTCATTTGAGTCAGCACATTTGAACTTTAGCTTGAACTGTGAGAAAAAGGCTGTGATGTCATTACACAGCCACACTTTTCAGACACATGTTGCCAGTGGACGGGAAGCTCCCTCTTTCCAATAAATATACACCCATAAATAATAGATTACACCCTAATTGTGGTTATAGTACCCCCCCCCCACACCCCCACACCCCTCCCCCTTAACATTGACGTGGTGCTGTGGACATCTTTTAATAACCGATAAACTTTTAAACTATTTTTTAACATAAATTATATATTTCCACTTTAGCTACAGACAGTTGATCCCACTCACCCCACTGGCCCTCCCTAACCCCATGTTTTCCTGCGGAATATTAGCACAATGCTTTTTAGATGAAGGATGGTGGTCATCCAGCTTCTACGTGGGCTTTTGAGGTCATTTCAGGCCCATTTAGACATGGCCACCACTTTGTGATCTGACCCTCCTCCTTTGGCATCATCTCCTTTGATGTGAAAGGGGTGTTTTTCTCAGCCTGCTCTGATTTGTCAGGTAATATATCGAAAATGGCTGAATGGAGGACAGTTCGTCAGCTATTCTGAATCACCTTTCCTTAAGCTCAAAAGGGGTAATCCGGTTAAGTGCAGGAAAAAATTATAAACTAAACTGCGATGAGCAGTCAAGATCATCATTCTAACAAAACGTGCTTTGAATAATCTGGCCTCATCATGAAAACCCAGTAGGATCCAAAAAAGGATACTGTATTACCTCATCATTAAAGGTTTTTGATTAATATTCAGTCATCCAGAGCCACCCTGTTGTTTTTGTGTTTATATAATGAACTCCAGTTGGTAAAACTCAGTGGAAACAATGGAGGGGACAGTTTCTCATCAAAAGGCACACGTGGTTGAAGCCTTCCAGACAAACATTGTTCGAAATGCCTTGAAACTTCAAAATTTCAGCATGTGTCCTATGTCCTTAAAAAAAAAAACAACTATATAAGCACAAACCAGGTTCTAAAAGCATTGTGTCTGCTCCACTTTGTAATGCCAAATACCCCCAAAAGTCTGTAAATCGCTTTTCAGGAGCACAATTCCACACTAGACCCATAATCTTGTTAAAATAGCTTTGCTCTGTGTGGCCTTTTTAATGGGTAACCGAGAGGTGGAAGTGAAGTGGAGCTGACAGGGTGACAACATTACTCAGCTCCAGACCCCTGAGCCAGTCAGCCCCGGACTAACTGACTAAGCACTTGTCAGGAAGGCTGCACTTACACTCACCCTCCTTTATATTCTGGCCCACTGACCACGATAAAATAAAATCTCAGTTTAGAGACATGGGATTGGGCACCAACTTCCCAAGGGAAAGCTTTCATGAAAGCTTTTCAATCGAGACTGTCTTACCAGGTGAAGATACCCAACTCAAGTAGATCCAATCAAGTCAGCGTTTGTCACTCTTAAGCTAGTTTAAAAGCCGCGTGTACGCCACCAGCTTTATCAGCTTATTTTACCCGCTACATTAGCGTGTTCTCATGTAACACCAGCACTTTTTAAGTCCTGAGTGTCATTTCAGATAAACTAGACGTCCATCAATTATGTCTGGCTTAGTAGTCTGCTGTGAGATTAGTGAGACCTTTGGCTATCAGGGGTCACGAGGTTGGAGATGAAAATAGTTGGGCTTGCTTTTTTGGCGTGAGACATCAGAGAAGGCGTGTTGGACTGAAGTTTAAAACTCACGGCATGCTGCGACCTGACCTGGCTGTACCAGAGTTGGATTTCTGGAGCTGAGGTTGGTCCCATGATGGTCTCATGGCATAGCCTTCTCCTCTATAAGTTTCATAATGGGTAGAAGGATTTAGAGGGATTGAAATGGCGTTTGCACACAGTAAAGATTAACATGCTTGCTTTAAAATTTATATTAATGCCAGCTTCCCTATGAGTTACCTCCAGTCATTGTGTGGCCATAGAAAACTGTTTAAAGCATTGTATTCTACTTAATGACACAAAATTTCACCAACCTTTGAAGCAGTACACAGGACTTTAATTCCCTTGGTAAGAACTTTTGTTTAGCTGAGTGAGACAGTGTTCTTTGATTGAGCTGAAATCTCAGTGTGTATTCCTTTCTCCAAGAATCCGAGTAAGGGAACGATTGTCCAGGGATGAATCTGTTCTGAAGCCCCATGACTGGAGTCCCGACAGGCACCAAGCAAACAGGCACCGCGCTCAGTACACCCCACAACATCCAGAACACCCCCAGCAAAGAACTGTTTCCCAGCCCCAGCCCAGCCCGGGCCACCATCCTGCCCACGGTCAGACGACCTACCCTCCCTCCACCGCGGTGTACCAACACACCGGCCGTGCTTCGGACTCTCAGCCCTATTTGGCCACAGCTGCTCAGGTGTCAGCTGGCAGACCCTCTGGACCCCCAGAGGTGCAACCACGAAGAAGAGTGAGCGCTGACCAAGTCTATGCTGCCCACAGGGAGGCGAGACTGGAGGCAAGGCAGGCCATCAAAGAAGAGGCCCACACCCAGGGCCTGCTAAAGAGCAGGAAGGCTGTGTTGCCCTCGGAGATTCGGCGGAGGGAAAGGAGTGTAGACGACACTCACAGAGGTCGACACGAAGACATAGACTGGCAGAACATGAGCCCAGAGCAGAAGAGGGTAAGTCGTGGAGAGGAAGACTGGGACAGGGAGAGGCCGAAAGAGCGGGGAAGGGAAAGACAAGTTCAGAGGATCAGAGAAAGAGGAAGAGAGCAGCTCTCCAGTAACGAAGTCCAAGATGACCGAATGATCCGATCTATGCAGCCTTCCCACTCCTCTGCACACGAGCAGCTTTGGCAGCATCATTCCTCGGAGCCTGTTTACCATCAAGAGCAGCAAGAGCACCAAACGCAGCAACAGTATGACTCAAGAAAAGGAGAACATGCTGCTCAGAATCAGCAAGAACCTCAAAGACAACATCAACACAACCCCCTGAGACAGCCGCAGGAGAACCAAAGGCAGCCTCAAGGACAACAGCAGGATGAGCTGCGAGCACACGTGCCTCCGAGTAGGCACCAAGACTCTCAAATAAGACAACAGGAGTCCCGCCTGGAGGAAGAGATCGCGCCTCAGCTGCAACAACAAGAGCCCCAGCACCAAGCCTTTGACTCTGCCGTTTCTTTGGCCCAGGCCAAGCACAGAAGCATGGAAGTCAGCGGAGGGCCCAAACCCAAGATACGAATGCGCTCCATGTCAGACATAGGCGTGAGCCAGCACTCTGTGATGTACCGCATGGAGCGGGCGGCGGCCAGCAAAGAAGGATCGAGAAACGCCCCTCCTCCCGGGACGGCTAACGGGGAGACGGGCACCCTGGACACCAGGGTGTCCGTGGCACAGCTGCGACACTCTTACCTGGAGAATGCCAACCGGAAACCCGAGTTGTAGGTCCACTGGCATGGGCTCTGTGTTGCATTGCTTGATGACTGTCTAACAACGCCTGAGAAAGCTGCTGAACTAGAGAATGCACTAATGGTGAAGACAAAGATCATGAGTGTTGCTGGCACCAAGTGTGTCAGCCGTGTGTAGATTTTCAGCATAAGTCACCTGTAAATAGAATAATATCTTACCAGTTAGCATTTGGATGCCTGCTGCTGCATGTTAATATGAGGTTGTGGCTCTTAAATGGCCTTAATGCACATTATGTCCTCTAATTTCTAAATGTGTTGCTCTTTTTTTAAATTTTATTTGTGAGTGAAGTTTCTGCTCAAAGCGACCACTTATGTTTCATATTATTTCAGCTGTATTTTTCTTTTATGTCTGATTTCCCCAAACTGATCCACCACTCCAAAAGTGATGCCACTAAAGTGGACCTGTCAGCCATGGAGGTGGATCCATCTGCCGGCGGCGATCGGGACAGGGGAACTCGGAGGCCCCGGCGTTACATCACACCGGGGGAGAGTCGCATGTCGGAGAGGTTCAGGACCCAGCCCATCACCTCTGCGGAGCGTCTGGAGTCCGACAGGTTGGAGGCCGACCTGCCGATAACAGCTCCTACATGAAATCATTTGGTAAAGCGAGGAAGTGTGTCATCTAAATGTTTTTCTGCAGGTCTCGTCTGAGCCCATCACAACTGCAGGACCCTGAAGGTATCTGCTTGTTATTTCCCCAAAGCTTAAAGTACCAGAGTTGGATATTTATGGCTCAGTATTGGTGTTAAAAAAAGCGTATTATTAATTATTTTTAATAGTGATGCATATATCAGTTAAAGATTATTTTTTTCTTTTCTGAAGACGTTTGTAACTGTGTTTTCATTTTTCTTCGGCAGATGAGGAAAAGTTGGATGAGAGAGCCAAGATGAGCGTGGCAGCAAAGAGATCTCTTTTCAGGGTATACGTCTGACATTATATATTTCACAATTTATCAAAAGCAATCTACCTCTAAATGTTCTGATCCAAAAAACTGAGGTGAGAGCTTTGGGTATGGACGTTTCAGGGATTTCAGCTGCTTTTACTTCACAACAGCCCCTCAACAGAGCAGACAGTTACAGTTAAGCGGGTGCTTTTGCTTTATTTCACATTGCTGTTTGTGGTTCTACATCTGAGGGGCGTAGAGCAGCAAAACATAACTGGAAGAAAAGCAAAAGGCTTTCCTACAAAGGCCAAACTGAATCGAATGCAAACTATGAAAGTTTGGATTTGGATGGATATACAATATACACCCCCCCCCAAAAAAAAACCCATTTGAAATTTAAACACAAACCTAGAAAAAACACAGATGGTGACGTCATCTTCTGGCAGCACTGATCCTTTCCTGTAATGTCCCGGCAGGAGCTGGAGCGCACCTCAGACGGAAGCGTTCCCAAACCTCGCTCTCGAAACGCTGCTGTGGAGAGACGTCTGAGGAGAATTCAGGACCGCTCTCACACTCAACCTGTCACCAACAAAGAGGTGGTCAGTGCCTCGAGGTACATCCTGCATCCTGTTTTTTTCCATCTGCCCTTTGCACAGTTCAATTCAAAGGGATCAATATTTCCGTTTTCTCCTATTTCCTTCTGTTCTTGGTCAGATCTCGACACATCTTTCTCTTATTCCTCTATTGTGTGTATATATATCCTATTTTTGAGTCATCTAAACTCCTCTCATCCTTTTTGAAGTGACCCTTCCGCACCGTCACAACCTATGGGCATCCTCATTCATGCAAATCAAGTTAGTAGCCACGCTGTGGATGGCACCGGAGCGACGAGCATCAGGTGGGCTAGGCATGCATGAATAACATGCCCATGTTTGTCTGCTCTGAATCCATTTAACCCAACAATTGTCTTGCACACGCTAAGAAATTCAAGATTCAGGGATGTACCCGATAAGCTGAGAAGATATAAAAAGTGGTTAAAATTGCATTGTTCTTTTAAATGAAAACCTGAAGCAAAAAATGATCCATGATGAATGAACAAAGAGGATTTCTATACTGAATCTTTTGTGTTAATATTGCAGCTATGATTCAGATCCTCTACCCCACATGTCAGTTTTAGTTCAAAGTGGCCAGACTTTCATGTAATCTTTTAGTTTTTCTGTTAATTCTCTCATGAACAGTCAAAGTCTCGGCCCTAGGATTATTTTTATAGCAACATAACTTTTTTGTTTGTTTAATTTTTTTGCTCTTTCAAAACACTTTACAAGGATCTATGATCATTCAAGCTTAATAAAGACTCCAAACTCTTGAACTGCTGTTAGATCAAATAACAGCTGGCTTGGCAAAGAACCCGGTGATGTCCTTAAGAAAGACATCAACGGAGCAAAAGGCAGCTTACATCCAAAGAAGAGCTTTGGGATGTCCTCCTAGAAGCCTAGAGAGCTGCTCCTGCCATGTTACCAAGGAATGAATGGAGCTCCTGACTTTCTGTCATCCACTTTGATGAGAACTTCCTTCATTTCCCTCTTAATGATTTATTTAGCTCTGACTTGTGTAGTAAAGAGACCCTCCAGCCCCACATAGTGAATGTCCTCAGCTGAGGACCACACTGCTGGTTGTGCCATAGCTCACTCACTGGTTTTGCACATGCAGGTCATGGCCGTCACATATCTTATAGATAGGTCGGAGGTTGAGCCGGTTAAAGCCCTCTGCGTGATAGGAATCGTGTGACCTGCAGTTTGTTTACCAGGTTTTGCTCAGCACATTGCAGGGAGATTGCTGTAACCCCCTGCAGTCATCCAAGTGCATCATATGATTATCTGGCATGTGTGGGCTGATCTGCTTATGTCTCTATAGCTGCGCGTGTCATCTGACACAGGTGTCCCGTTAGGAGTTTCCATACAGCTTTTGTTTAATCAGATCCTCATCCATTAAGTCTCCACTATAAGCAGAGTGTGTCATTTATCATATCCCACATTTTAAGTCTGAAACTTTGGTTCCCATCCTCAAAATGCAGGATTGTGTCAGTGTAATCTGTCCCTTACATTTGTTTGTTTCTGTACGTTTTCATTATTGACCCCCTGATATCTCCCTGTCACTGCCACAGCGTTCAGGCGTCCTCTCAGCACAGCTCAGTAGTCCAGGAACAGGAAACTTACCAAAACCAGAAGCCGGGTCCGTCGTACAGCGCCGAAGGAGAGGGACTTTTCCAGGACCTGGGCCCGGATGAGCCCGACCTGTCGGCGCTCAGCCTGACGGAGAAGATGGCCCTCTTCAACCGCCTGGCCAAGCCCACGGGCAAAGCAGCCGAGGGGGCTCGGGGGGACACCCGCCAGCGCCGAGCAAACGCCCGCTTTCAGACCCAACCCATCACCCAGGAAGAGGTGGAGCAGGTACGCTTCAATCACACTGAAGAAATGATACGCATCGCAAGAGAAAAAACAGTCAATATCCCCTGTCCCCATAGTTCTCTTTATCATTTAACCCAATTTCCACATCTCAGTCTGGTGGCCTCTAGGTGTCACAAAAAAGCAACAATACATGTTGCAGGCCGCAGCCAGTGAAAATTTTAGCCATTTTTCTCTGATCAGATGCGATCATGCAACTGGTCTCTCATTTGCTCGGTCAAACATCACACGATCAGCCACCCAAGGGACAGAAATTACGCTTTCCTTCTTCGCTGCCCTGTTCTGATGTAACGTCAGACGCTCTGTTTGTATCTCTAACATGCAACGCTGAGTCATGGTTATAACTGGTGTCCACACAGGAAGCTGAGCCTGGGGTCACCTCCGCCGTGTGCAACGGCGACTTAGAGGCCAGTCAGGGAGAACACGTAAGGCCCGGCTGGTGGCGGGTTGCGCCCAGCCGAAATGTCCCGCTCTGATTGGTCCCGTTCGTGACCAGAGCTTGTGTCTTGATATGGTGGCAGATTTGCAGGCCGAGCTTGATCGTGATCGTGGTCGGGGTGGGGGTGGGCAAATTTCAGGTGGGGTGCTCTGCTTGTCATGAAAACGTGGGGGGGGGGGGGGGGGGGGGGGGGTGATGCTTTTTGTGCGCAGCTGCTTCTGGGACGTGCGTGTTGGGTGCGTAACAAGCATGTGGGTGTCAAATGCAAGCTCCGAGTTAGTGTCTTCAGGCTACCTGAAGACACTAACAACGCTATTGATCGGCACATGAGAACGCGGACAGATCTGCTCTTCATAGAAGTTGTGCACAGAGTTGTGTGAGGATGCAGTGTCATGTGTGGAGTTTGAGTTTCAGATGGCTGCACATTACATTCAGAAGGAGAAAAACCAGCCGAATGGGTGACAAAAGGAAACTAATATAGGCAGCAGAAGGGGTGCAGCTTTAATAATCTGGTTTGGCTTTAATATCTGTATTTATTACCTGGTAATGAACTTAGAGCTTGCGTCGATGATTGTGGTTTGCCAGCTGAATATGTCTGAAATCATTGCAAATGTATTTTGTTGTCACTTTATCAATGCAGTCATATTTTTTATGCGATTTTAAGCCCCATGCAGCTTTAATTTTGCTCATCCTGCTCTCGTTGGATGACAGTATACCTCCCTCACCACATACTCCACCCTGTGTAACATCCACAATGCCCTCCATTTATCTCTAACCGCCCACCCAAGTTAATCCATCCTTCAGCTCCTCAGTTTTTAAATTTCACACCCCAACTTTCTAACGTGACCTCTGCTCTTCCTTCAGCTTAAAAATGGCGGCGAAGTCAAACTGGAGCCGCTTTCGGCCTCCCTGGTCCGATCTCTGGCAGCCGTCACCTCCCAAGCTTCCGTCGCCACAGTAACCATGACGGCGGGCCGAAGTGATGATGGCTTCCATCTAGGGAAGTCCTCCGCCATCCAGTACATCCCTGCCCAACAACAGGCTCCCGGCAGCGCAGACTACCGCCAGGAGAGGGCGCAGAGGTATTTCTCCATGACCCAGAGCGAGGACCCGGGCCACCCGGAGCCTGAGCCGAACCCCGCCCCTCTCCTCGCTGAGAGCCAAGACAGAGCGTGGACCGCTCCGGCTCCCGCCTCCTCGGTTGGTCTCCGGCAGCAGGGGGAGGCGGCGGCGGAGGGCTGGAGAGAGCCAGAAGAAGAGGAGGTTGGAGGGAGAGAGCAGGGAGGAGCCAGAGAAGACAGGCTAGCCGGCAGCATCCCGGAGAAGCCGCACTCCTCCGACAGGGACGGAGAGGACCGGCCGCAGCATCCCCACCCCTCTGCCGAGTCCTCTTCGTGGCAGAGCCAGGCAGAGCCTCGGCCCGGCCGGAGAGCCCCTGACCGAGACTCCCAGGAGGGGAGGGAGAGGGAGGAGGGAGGAGGAAGAGGAAGAGGAAAAGGAGGCCACCTGAGAGAGGCTGCGGCACCCCACGCTGCCTCCACACAGGAGCAGGGAAAAAGCGGCGGAAGGGGCCAGGGAGGTTTTTCAGGTAGGAGGCATGTGGTGGGAGGGAGCAGGGGGGGGGGCAATAGCCCGGGATAGAGAGGAGGGCGGTGGAAGGGGAAAGAATGGGAAATGGGAAAAAATAAGGGCTCATGGTTGTCATTGTCTCAGGCAGCGTGCTCCCACGCATGAGCGCTTTCTTCCGGCGGCACACACACACGTCCCAGCTGGGAGTGTTTGATTTGGCAGATACAGAGACGTCTGAGGCTGCATCTAATTAGCATATTTTCCCATTCATTTGCCTGGCGGAGCTCTTTGTCTGGAGAGAGGAAGCCCCCCTGCCTTGACATGCTGCTTTATGTTAACATCAGCGGAGATTTTTTCAGATTGCAATCGTGTCCACTCTCTGTGGTCACCGTGGTCCCTTTTGCACCACATTACGCCTCTGGGCGAGCCGTGCACACACCACAGTGAAATGGCCCTGACCCGCTTTCATGTGCTAATGGAGTGTGTGCAGGGGGTGGCCTTTTCCCAGCGAGTCACACAAACAGTGTAGGGGAGAGATGAAAGCACTCTGGAGTGAAGAACCGCTGTCTATCGCTTAAATCAAGCAAATAGAGGACAAGTCGAGCACAATGCCGCCTCGTCTGCAGGCTGCAGCTACTTCTGCGTGACTCAGTCTCACCAAAGCGTCCATTATAACCCCCTTGTTGTGGGGCTAAAAGAAGTTTTGGTGACCTTTGCTGAGACTCTTCTGATACCTTCAGCCTCGCTTCACATTCACCAGCATTACCAGAGACACGTTCACCATATTCATTACAGTCCTGACAACAGATTTTTACAGTTAGGTTGACCTTGCGTCTCATATCACCCTCATCTTTGAATCTGATTTTTACTCCTCTTTCAGATTTTCTGGAACACTCGGCGCCGCTGAGGCCGCTGGTGGCTAAAGTATCATCCAGGACGGTGTCTCATGTTTCGAGCGGCCCGCCGCAGCAGCAAAGCGCGACTCATCCTCCTCAGACGCTCCCCAAGCCCCTGTCGTACATCCAGCCGCTGTCCCAGCCCCAGCCCCCGCCGACCTACCCCAAACCTTTCACCCACTCGCCACAAACCCAGCCCAAACCTCAGGGGTTCATCCAGTCCCTCCCCAAGCCCTACCTGCAAACGCCCCCACAGCCCCCGCCCAAACCCCAGGTGCCTCCTCAGACCCCACCTAAACCGCAGTCCTTCCCCCAGACGCTGGTCAAGTCCAGGTCCCTGCCCCTAGATCCCAGCGAGGACTTCAGCCGGCAAAGCGCCCACTCTGGAGATCTGCTGTCCCCCACAGGGTCCGGAGACCACCTTTCTGACGGCATGTCCGCCAAACAGATGTCCATCAAAGAGAGGTGAGGGGGTTACAGAGGTCTCACTGACAGTTTAGTAAGGTCTCCCAATACGTTTGATTCTAATTTAGCTCTTTTCCATGATATTCCTTCTCACATATCTTGAACTGATGTAGAATCTGTGTCTTTGATTGGGTGGGGAAGGCTGAGAAACTTTACACCCTCTTTGGGTTTTGGTTTCCTTCCACGCTGCACTGTTAAAAAGTGGCCCAACCTGCCTGGACAGTGTCACACCGCTACCACGTCTGCTCATTTAGGGGCAGGATTGCCCAAAACGAACAAGAAATAAAAAGACAGTAAGATTTAAAAGCAAATCAGGCTTCTTTTTTGCTTTAAACAAACAAGACTGGCGCTTTGTTTAAAGTTTTTGTGGAAGTGACGATGTGAGGCGGAAGCTTGCTGTGAGTGGATGGGATTTGGGGAACTGCTGCCACCTAAAGGCTTGACATGGTTGGTGTGGGCTGATTTTTGGGTAAAAACGAGGCCATGTGGGCAAGGTTTTTTTTCTAGACAAAAGAGGGGGGAATATATTCAGTTTTCAAAGACCCCTGTGCGTACAAAGTCTTAAACTAAGCTGCTCTGGTGCGAATCATTTAAAGAGGTCTCAGGACCTCAATTTTTTTGTGAGGTATTGTGAAGAGAAATTTGATGGTTGGAGCCAGGGAGAATCTGGACCAATATCTGTCGATAAGGCACATATTGAACACGATCCCACCAAAATTTGTCAAATTTAAAGATGCTTTAAAGGGTAGCAAAGTGTTAGTTGAAGCTAACAAATCTAAATCTGGTAAAAAAAATTGAGCCCAAGTCAAAAGTCATCCCTCAGAAATTTCTCAGGTTTGACAGAATCAGGTAGTAGACTCTGGCTGCACTTCCTTGTGTGATGTGGGGGTGTCTTTGGAGGTGAGGGAGATTTATTTTTAGCGTCATTGTGTTTCTTTTCTGGAAGCAGCGGAGGGCTGTGCGGACTAATGATATCCTCTGAGATTTATCAGACTTCCCACAATGCCCTCATTTCTGCCCCGTCCACGCTCGTGCAGCAGAGATGATGACATACTTTCTTTTACCCCCTTAGCCAAGCGTGATCCGCGCTCCTCACGCTCTCTTTACCGACCGTCACATCTCCTGGCTGCAGAGCAGAAACCTCTGAGCTGTCCTCTCACACTAGAAGGACTTTTTCCGAGTTCCATGAAGATTTGACAGGAAAAAATATGTATTAGTTCCTAATTCCTAATTTCAGCATTTAAACAGTATGAACTAATCACAACAGCCTTTATTCCCCCCTATAGTTGCTGTCTCAGTACATGTGTTAAGTAGGTCTAACACCATCACACAACAGCAACTTCCATTAGCCACAAATAAGCCCCAAAAAGCTTTAAATGTTACACTGAGGGGTAAGAAAGTGCTACTAGAGATCAGGACTCGATATGAAAGTTACAATGTGGAAATGATTTAACCTCGTTTCCAGGTCACTGAGACAGGCAAATGACCCACAGGACTACTTGTGGTGACATTTATCGTATATATGGGGGCATATCCACAGTAGTGACCGGCAGGATGGGAGATGGGAGTATGAAGCAGGTTTACAAGCACACACAAAACATCGTAATAAATACGATTAAACGCTGGGCTGACACAATGGCTGGCTATCCACTGCCACTTTTGGATAAAAGGCAAACGGAAATGGAAAACACTGAGAGGAAAAAAACTTTCACAAAGGCACAAAATGGCTTGATGCAGTTAGAGGGCATGAAAACAACTTTGCTCATCACACTCATCTGAGGAAAATTTAAATGTAATGCTTCACCTTAGTCCACCGCAGTTTCACTTTAGAGTTTGCTTCCTCTGGAGGAAACCAGGGCTTGGCTGTAGATATAGGCTATAAATGGGGGAGGAGAAAGTAAATCAAAGGGAAGCTCAGATTAGAGTCACTGCCCTCCACAGCCAGCCAGGATAGTTTGGGGATGTGATTAAGAGGCATCCTGGTTACCTTGGAGGTTTTTAAGGGATACCCAGAACATGCTGGGGGATTACGTATCTCATATATAATCAGGCCTTGAGAGGCTGCAGGATCTCCATGGAGGAGGAAAAAAAACTGGAGAGAGGGATGTCTGGGTTTACCTCCTGCTGTTGCTTTTGTGATCTGAAAAAAAAAAACGGGAGGAAATTGATGGATGGTTTGTTTCCAGTTATGACAGATACTCATTCTACTGAATTAAATCCACATGCAACACAGCCTGCGCGCTTCCCTCTGATGACTCTAGTCCTGTTGATTCAAAGCAAAACCTGTCCGAAATGTATGTTTCTTGGTGCTTGTCAAAAGGACAACCTGTGGAGGAAAATCTAATATTGACTCTAATCGTGGTCTGTAATTATACATATTACAATGGAGATTGTGATCTCATATGCTGCTTCTCATGTGCATAACTGGAAATGTATTGAGTAGCAGTGCCTATGTTCAAATAGCTATAAAGTGTTTATGTCACGGGGAATTAAAACCCACAGTGAGGACACAGACAACAGGGAATGGGGAGAAAAATAAGATTTATGTAAACAAGGCAAGGAGAGAGCCCGGGACAAGGGGCCAGGAGAGACATGGAGGTTTTTCGGATAGACTGACAGAAAAAGAAAAAAAAACAACTGACGGAAAGAGAGGAAAGCAGAAAGCTTGTGTACAGAGGAGGGTGATTAGTGGATGAAGAGCAGCAGATACAATGAACACAGGTGCAGCTGACAACCACAGTGGAAAAACACTGAGGATACAACAGCAGGGAACAGAAGCTAAAACTCTGAGGAGAGAAACAAACCAAGAACAAGGGAACAAAATAATGATCTGCTACGAAGACATGGAAGCAAAACAGGCACAAAATATTCCAGAAAACCTTATGACCCCCCAAAAGGAAGCTGGACAACAACAAAAAAAGCAAAAGAAAGTAAAGTTTTAGCCAGTGGCTCAACTCATAAATAACATCATTCTCCTGTACATGAATTATTATCCAGAGAGCTGTTATTTAAATCTGGTGATGGTGTAAACGCAGAGTTAGAACAATGTTCTTTTCCCCTTAAACTTTCACATCTGGAGTCAGCATCTGGAGTTTGCTTCACAATCATGTGCTGGCCTGTTTTCTCCAGTTACAAATGATCCTCTCTCCTACATCAGAGTGGCATTGCTGAAGAAGAGCGGCGAGGAAGATTGGAGGAACAGGATCAACAAGAAACAGGAAGTGGTTAAAGTGGCGTCCACCGAGCAGCAGGCGCAGCAATGGGAGACAGAGCAGGCCGACCAAAACAAGGTCAGACAAATTTATAATGTAACATTTTCTCCCGTTTTTTCTTCCTCCATCCCACAACTTGAAAATATCACACAATATCCTAAAAGGATGTTTTCCTTCTTTTCTTTATACCCACAGTCATTCAGTTACATCATCATACTTTACTACATTATAATATGTACTCTTTCTTTCCAACAAGTTAAAGGTACTTTAATGTTTGTCAGATTTTAGAGCTGAGATTAATTTGAATTAAAAATGACTCTTTTGCTAAGATACACATTTCTTTAATAGGAATAATAGTCTAACTGCTTGGTGGATGTTTCTTCATGTTGCAGCTGTGCAATAAATCCAGTGTAAACTCATTTGTGGAGAACTGATTTGTCCTGATAAAACGGTTTGAAAAAATCTAGATGGTTTAATGTTATTTTTTTGTGATCCTTATCATCAGTTCGTGAATCATGATAAACATTAATAAAAATAAAAAAAACAAGTTCAGTTCAAGTCCAAGACAGCCCCCCAAAAAAATAATATAATAATAATTAATATCCTTCGTGTACTCTCAATGTTGTTCAACGGCGTTTTAATCTAAATTAGGGATTTATTCTCTTTCATATGAAATATAAATTAATATTTTTTCAGTTAGTCCACTACTTTGCCTCTCAGAATTAATCAGAGCTAAGTGTCCCACACTGTGGGCATGCCAGCTCCTGTCCCTGACTCTTTCATGATTTAGTGCTCCTGTTATTTCTTTTTCGTTGTTGTTGTACATCTGTCATTTGCGCCCAGTGGTCCGGTTTAGCTTCATATAACCTTTGTAGACATTTTCCAACAACGATGGATAGGAAATCAACTCAGATTTAAGGGGCGTCGGTAAAAATAAAACCTTATTTTACAAAAAGGAAATATGTCTCCTGCATATCCGTTGGATTGTAAAAAAAATTGAACGAAACCTTTTGCCTTTAAGAGCCTTTCCTTTCAAGATTTGAGCTCCCCAAAAGATTTCTTTTCTCCAGCTCACCCACTACCCATTAGTATTCTGTGGGGGTAGCTGCCTGCTTAAACTGTGGATGGTAATCCTCCAGGCTGTCTCAGCCCTAAACCCTTTAGAAACAATGGCTGTTGCCCCCTCCCTCCTACTGAGCTCTTCCCCTGTCTTTAACCCCTCAGGAGGAAGGGGTGGTTTTTCAAGACTACTCTGCTGTGTCTGCGTCTGAACAGCTGTGGGTAAGACCTGCTGGCAGCCCTGAACCAATCAGCTTCGTGTGGGATCTTTGTTGTCCAATCGCAGCTATAGCTGGATGTTGTGTGCAGCTTTTTGTTGCTTCTCCTCAACATTTCGGGCTCTGCATGTTCTTTACCTGCAGCTTGTAACCCAGTTTGTCGGCAAAGAGGAGGCAGGCTCCACTACATCTAAAAAAAATTAACCTCAGCAATATTTCACGTATTTTTAACACATTTATATCATTATGTACAAATTTTGGATCACTCATAGTGTTCAGTCCTGTAACAGCCATTCGTATGTCCTTTATGTGTCTCTATCACAACAGTTATAAAAAGTTACATTTGCCTTCTCCTGTTTCATTACTAACTGTTTAAATTATTTTCTTGGATGGTTTTTAAATCAGACTTTGCTTTTGGGAAGTTTGCCAAACTTCACAGCGACAATGTTGAGATATTTACCAGCGTCTTGGTTCCAAATGAAGGACACTGTTAGCAGTTAGCAAAAACGCATCTCTGTTCAGTGAAAAAACAGATTTGATTGACAAAGTGTAGGTCAAAAGAGTAGATAAAGAGAACAGCCCAACAGAAAAATGCAGGAAAAGGAGAAAACATTAAAGAAAACAAGGCTGTCAGAGGAGCACACAACAGAAATGTCAGGAAAAAGTTTTCTTCAATGCCCATGTTTAACAGTAAACAAAACAATGTCAGCTGAAAAGCAGGCTGTTGAATGATCACTGACAAAATGCGGGCGTGGACTAATCAGATAAATGAAAACAGATTGAGGAAGTGGGGAAAGAGTCAAAGCTACATGAAATTAATGGAAAAATAAATAATGCTAAGTTGAACAGAAAGTTGCCACCAACCCGACCAAATTACAAAGGAGTCGACAAATGTCAGACTGAAAGCTCAAAACCACGAATATCTAGTTCTCTTGAACACTCTGGAAGACCCCAACAGGTCTAACAAAATACACTGTGCATGCACTCCTCAGGAAAACATCAACATTTCTAGCATTAGATTAACCCCTTTGGAATCCATCCCCGCTCCTGCTCCATTGTTTGTGTTTGTCCTTGCATTTCCTTCTTTCCTTTCACTTTTTCATCCACCTCTACATCCTCAGGAACCTGTCTTCTCCTCCACCTTTTCTCCTCCTATCTCCCTCGGCCAAAAGTGTCAGTATATTGACCATCACAGCCAGGTAAGGGCACGCACCCAGCACGCTCCAGTGAGCAGCATGAGTTGGAGTCCTGTCTTTCTTGCTTGGTTTGCAGCCACCCGTGAGAAAGGCAGAGTCTGAGTTGCTGAGATTGATTTGGTTGCTGCAACACAAGTGCAGGCCCGTGTACAGCTATCACATCCACTGAGGGATGGAGAGGGCTGTGCAGCCCTGCACCTAGCATGCTTGAATGCATCTAATCTTTTTATATCTGCTTGGTTTGTCAGTGTTACAAAGTGAGTAATTTCTCCTCTGGGATTAAAACAGTTTTATGTGGTAACAGTGAAGTTGTACAAGGGGTGATGTAGTTGTCCCAGTGTTATGTAAGAATCAGCGTTGTGAACTGATCATTTTTATTTGCTCCTTGTACTTATTTTCTTTACATTTTACATTTGAATCTAAAAACAGGCTGAAATCAAAGTGCATTCGGCGGAGTTTTTTTCACTGTGTGGCTAATTAACTTCATAATAATTTCATTACCTGGATTTCGCTCTGTCTGTGCAGAAGGTTGGAGAGGAAATTGAGGCCCAGATGACCATTGAGGAGAGAAAACAGATGATTTCAATACGTGAGGATGCCTGGAAGACAAAGGGCAAAGGAGCAGCCAATGACTCCACGCAGTACACAGTTGCTGCACGGATGGTTAAGAAAGGTCAGCGCACAGCTGGTTTTTATAATTCTAATGGACTTTCTCACCAAAATATCCAAAAGTGTGTCTCATTTTGAAATCAGTGCTGCACAAAAAGTTTTGAAATTCTGAACCTGTAACCAACGTGGTATACACTTATAAATCCAAGGTGTATTTTTGTCTTCAGTCAAATCTTCACGTCATAAAAAGTGTGTGAAAGTGTGTAGAAAATCACAGCACTGGCTCGTTTCAGTCTGTCCTTGGTGAATCTTTTTGTTTTATCAGGTGTGACTTTCTGTCTCTGTGTTCTCAGGCCTGGCAGCCTCGGCCTCGGTTATCAGCCCCATCCTGTCACCAGTCTCCACTAAACTGAAGAGCAGCACGCCTGCTGTCAACAAACCACAAGAAGGTGAGAAAGATTAGAGAGTTCTGTCTGCGCTGCAACTTCAACTAAAACAGAACTTTAATGGAAAAAAAGGCCAGTTGGATATTTTAACCCTTAAATTAAATTCTGTTTAACCAGTATCGAGACATTTTGTGCTGGGGGGGTGACCAGAGCCTATCCCAGAAGTCGTTAGGTTAAAGGTGGAGTCATCACTGGACCAGTCCAGCAAATTTAGAATCACCAATGAACCTCACATGGATGTGGATGGTGTGAAGCAACCAGAGTACCAGAAATAAGCCACGCAGAGACGGGGAGAGCATGCAAACTCCACACAGAAAGGCCCCCAGCTGGGATTCAAACCAGAAACCCTTGTGTTCTGCTATATCAGAACATAAGAATTATTCTTATTCTTCCCTCCCTATTTTTCTAATCCATATTAGATGTGGAGGTGCCTGCTACTGGCAAATAAATAAATCTGAACCTGAATTTGAGTCAGGTAATTTATTTCCTACTGAAAACCTAAAAAGTATCCTCAAAGGAACAAACCATGTATTTCCTTTTAGTTATTCCTGGTTGCTTTCTGTTTTAGATTCCTGATAGGGGTTTTACGCCATCTAAGTAAATCTATGATAAGGTCTGGGGGCCTTGAATACCACCATCACATCATATCCTGTCACTTCTGTCCATTGGCTTGATTTATGGTGGGCATGTGTGGAATATTTCTATCAGTAGATGAGCTTGAATGGACACGGACGGACTGTGATCAGTAAACAGAAGTCCTGTTATGGCAGTGGACTTTTTACCTCCCAAAAAGATGATGATTTATGAACGCACTGTTAGCTGTCCCAGAGTCTGTGCATCTGAGTAAGACAAATGAGGCTGAAAATATCAGCCGTGCTCTAAACTGAATCATTTCATTGGCAGAAATTGAAGCCAGGCCAGACATGGAATCAGATAAGAAACTAGACAAGCTGGAGAGCTTCCTGGGGCGTCTGAACAGCAAAGGTTTGAATTCAAGCTCTACAAAGCTATATTTGATAGGAAATGTGTGTTTTGTCTATTATATCAAGTGCTATTGTCATATTTTTGCTTATCAGCATGCCACTTTTGCCATAATAAATCTTAGAAGAATGCTCCGAAGCATTTTTCTTCAGGAATTAGCATTTTTATTATCCTGTAAAGGCTTAATCAGGTCTGATTTATTTTTTGTTTAGTGGCTGGTTTGCAGGAAACCACCATAACAGTGACTGAGAAGGCAGTGAAGGAAGTGATGAAACTGGACGATGAAATCTTCTCCAAGTTCTACAGACACGTGGCTGAGTTTCCCCGCATGCCCACCAGGATTGAAATCACAGAAGACTTTGACTCCATCTTTGGCTCTCAGGGTCCCAAGTAAGAAAAACATATATACAAAAGGGCTCTGCGAGGACAGTTTCTCTTTCTGGTTTCCCCCTCCTCTTCATGCCCATGTCCCCCTTTTCACCCAGACTGACCTCAGCCATGGTGCAGCACAAGCGGTCAGTTCGTCCGTCCAGGAACGTTCAGTCCTCCAGAAACCCTGTGAAGATGCTGGCGGCCAGGGAGGACATCCGGCATGAGTACACGGAGCAGAGGCTGAACGTGGCACAGCTGGAAAGCAAAAGGATGAAGGCTGAGAAAGGTTTGTGGAAAGAAAACAGCCTGGTGGTTCCGAATCGGTTTGTGGTGCACATGACTCCACGCAAAGCACCTGTGAAGCTGTTTATCGTTGAAAACTCAAAGTGGGAAATGTTTCAAATGAGAAGAGAGTTTATTCTGACGTGTTTTGATAGTGTTTACAGCTGGGGTCTTATTCAGTTCAACGAGGCAATTTCTGTTGTTTTTTCTGACCCCTGCAGGTTTGTATTTTTAAGTGGTCTGTTGTTTTTCTCGTTCCAGTCAGCAAAACCTCTGAGTACTCGGAGGCTGCTCTGGCAGGTCTGGCCAGCAAAGAAAACTTCAGCAGTGTGAGTCTGCGTAGCGTCAACGTGTCTGAGCAGACCTCCAACAACAGCGCAGTGCCCTTCAAGAGCCTCATGCTGATGCTGGTCAAAGGTGAAAACTCCACCTGTTTCTCTTAACCGAGTCATTTTGGTTTCCTGCTCAGTATTTATCGCCCTTCAAAAGTCCTAATTTACTCGCTAAAGAAGTGGTGCCAAACATTCTGTAGAAATTCCAAGAAAATGTGTGTTCGGGCCAAGAAAAACTTAATACACGTAATCACTCAAATGTGGAAAGCAGCATTTTAAAGATTTAATAATCATCTGTTATAAATTATTGTCCATATTTTTCAGCGGAAAATGAACTGTTGTTCAAAAAAAAAAACACCCATCTATTGACACCAGCAGTTTATGATGGTGCAGATCTATGATTGTATCATTTGCAGGCCGCCGTCATGTTCAAACCAGATTGGTGGAGCCCAGAGCGTCCTCTCTGAACAGCGGGGACTGTTTCCTGCTGGTCACTCCGGAGAACTGTTTCGTCTGGGTCGGAGAGTTCTCAAACGTCATCGAGAAGGCCAAAGTGAGTACTGAGTCAGAGCTGAAACACTCAACACTGTTCACTGATGACTCTGATGTCATCCTTCTTCATTTTTATTTATTATTTAATCATTACCCGCAAGAAGGACAGGACCGCTTGGTCAAGGCTCCAAACAATGAACCTGTTTGGTTTTGGTTAAGTTGAGTTTCAGGTTTTCCCTAATTTTGTTTTCGGTCCATTTTCCTCTTTTTTTCTTAATAGAATCATCATGAGAATAATGGAGATCTTGACGTTTTAGAGTGAATATCTGACAGCCAGATTTTTTGTTTCCTGTCTTTAGGCTATGGATTTGGCCACTTTCATCCAGACGAATAAGGACATGGGCTGTAGAGCGAGCGAGGTTCAGACCGTGGAAGAGGGAGTCAACCCACAAGGTCCCGACGCGCAGCAGTTCTGGTCAATCCTGGGTGGACAGATGGCCTATCGGCGTAAGGCGTCAGGCATGAAGGCTCCCACAGATTGTGTTTGTGCTGCCGTGGTTAAATCCCACTGCCTCTGCCCTGCAGCGGCGGGTCCATCGGAGGAGGACGAGCAGTTTGAGAGCGGCATCGTGGAAACCAACTGCATCTTCAGACTCCTGGACGACAAACTGATTCCTGATGACGACGAGTGGGGGAAGATTCCTCGCAGCTCCATGTTGGCATCGAAGGAGGTGAAGAGCGTGCTGTAGCCCCGCTGACGCCCACTGACATCAGTCTTTTGTCCTCTGCGGTTAAATGGTGGAATAGACGGAACAGACTCTGATGTAGTTGTGGGTATTTATAGAACACGGGGCCGATGAGAAGTGGAGGAAAAATGAGGCCTGGGAGGACGGAGTAATTCGGGTGATTTGAGCTGTGGGCAGAGAGAGCAAACACAGAACAATGTGCTTTCAAGCCACATGTTTGCCAGCCCTGGTGGCAGGTGCACCAGGCTGAAAAGGGATGGAGTCACGACTTTCATGAGTCTGCTTAGCTGAGATGAGTCGTTCTCTCCCGGGAGTTTGAAACCCACTCAATTATCTGCTGATCTTGGTCGGAAAGGAGGGATATTTCTGCTCTTTACCACCAGTCCTCCCCTTTTATCCAGTCGCAGTCGAGACATCTTTTAACCATATGTTAACAATGAGCCCTTTTGTTAGCAGCTTTCTTTGTGTTTCTGTGGAGCTTTGCTTTAGGTCGGGTGTGACGTTTTTCATCTTCCTCCAGACCTGAACGTGAAGCCGTCACCTCCAACAATCTAAAAAATGAAATATTTCCCGAAACTCTCCATTTCCTTCTGTCTAAGATACATTTTCACTTCTGCTTTCATCAGGTTTTAATTCACATGTGACGCAGGCTGCTCATGTGGCAGAAACCAGATTGAGGAGCAGCTTCCGGGCCCTCTCAAAGCAGCTGTTGTGTGTTGTGCTGTGTGCGCTCCAGGTGCTGGTGTTCGACTTTGGCAGCGAGGTGTACGTGTGGCATGGCAAAGAGGTGACCCTCGCCCAAAGGAAGGTCGCCTTCCAGCTCGCCAAACATCTGTGGAACGGGACGTTCGACTACACCTGCTGCGACATCAACCCCCTGGACCCCGGCGGCTGCAACGCGCTCATCCCCAGGTCGGAGCGCGCCGGCTTTTGTATTTCGACCACAAAACCTGCGGAATCGCGCAGCTCCTCCTCGTCTTGGCTTTGAATCTTGACGTGTTTGCCTGCTGGTGCCGACAGGAAGGGCCAGGGCCGCCCCGACTGGGCCATCTTCGGCAGGCTGACCGAGCACAACGAGACGGCCTTGTTCAAGGAGAAGTTCATGGACTGGACTGAAGCGAAGTCGCCCACTCCCAAAGAGGGGGGCGAGCCTCCGCCCGAGCAGAAGGTGCAAATCCAGCATCCCATGATTATACAAGTTACACACATCAGAGAGGCTTGTTTTTGTTGGACTCGCAGTCACTGATCATGTTGCCAAGGAGAATTAGTCACACACTAGAAGCAAAATAAGAATTGGATAACATATGTCTTATTGTCTCTGGTGCATGGAGGCGTTTTTTTTCTGCCTTCGGCCAGGCTGACGGTTGACTCTTTATGATGAATTTTTACTGATGATGTCCCTCCCAGGAGGCTCCTGGACGAGGCTGCCGGCCTTACGACGCCAACCTCATGCTGACTGTCCTCAACTCGCCTATTTCCACCATTTTGGACGGGGTGAACGTGGGCCGGGGCCACGGTCCCGTTGAGACCGAGGACCACATGAGGGCTCAGGAGATCACCACGGCGTCCGTGGACGTCTGGCACATCCTGGAGTTCGACTACAGCCGCTTGCCACGCCAGAGCATCGGCCAGTTCCACGAGGGAGACGCGTACGTGGTCAAATGGAAGTACATGGTCAGCACCTCGGGTTAGTGTGTGCGAACGAAGCTCATTCTCTCAATTGCTCAAACACATAGACATGGACACACCACGCTTTATGCCCTCTTTTCATTGGATGTCGCAGTGGGCCGCAGGCAGAACCCTGAGGCCAGGAGCAGCGGGCCGGGGAAGGAGAGGTGCTGCTACTTCTTCTGGCAGGGGCGACACTCCACCGTCAACGAAAAGGGGACGTCGGCACTCATGACAGTGGAGCTGGACGAGGAGAAAGGGGCTCAGGTAAAACATTTCAACAGCCAGCTACAAATAAAACTGAAAATTTCTGATGTTCAGTGAGACCTTGTGATTTATCCAAAACCTGTATTTGAATGTTTTAGTTTTCTTGATATATGAGGAAAAATGGGCATAAAATATTAAAAGAAGGCATGTTTATTTAAGATCATTATGGGAAATTATATGACCAATACATCAGTTTGCCCAATACATCAGTTTTTTTTTTAAAGAAAAGTCTAACTGTGTGTTTCAGGTCCAGGTGCAGCAGGGAAAAGAACCGCCATGTTTCCTGCAGTGCTTCAACGGAGGGATGATCGTCCACGCTGGCAAGAGGGAGGAGGAGGAGGAGAACACTCAGAGTAATCATCCCAACATTTAAGCATATCACAGTTCTCCTTCACAGTCCTTAGCGATGCAACTTTCTGTTGTTTGCAGTTCAAACAGGCTGCAGGCTTTTTCTAATGGAATATTCACAATATTTAACTACATTTATTACTATGGATTCCCATCCAAAAGATGACGCTTACTGTCTTCTTTATGTAGTTTTATATTGCTTCTATATAAGAAAGCATTGTTTGTTCATGAGATTGACTCTTATTCAAACTAAAAGCAATTAACTCTCAGTTGCATTATAAATGGATTACAAGATGTCATGTTTTGTGCTCTAACTCTTACTTGCTGGCCCCTGTGTGCACAGATGAGTGGCGTCTGTACTGCGTGCGGGGCGAGGTGCCGGTGGAGGGCCACCTGCTGGAAGTGGCGTGTCACTGCAGCAGCCTGCGCTCCAGAGCCTCCATGATCCTGCTCAACATCAACAAGGCCATCATCTACCTGTGGCATGGCTGCAAGACGCAGCTGCACACCCGCGGCGTCGGAAACACGGCCGCGCTCAAGATCAAAGAACAGTGAGCCTTCGTTTTTTTTCGGGGGAGGCTGCTCATTTTGTGGTCCTTCCCCTCTGGCCGAGCTTTTGAACTGAGTCTCCTTCAGGTGCCCGCTGGAAGCAGGCCTCCACAGCAGCAGTAAGGTGACCATCCATGAGTGTGACGAGGGAGTGGAGCCCCCGGGCTTCTGGGAGGCGCTGGGGAGGAAGGACAGGAAGGCATACGACTGCATGCTGCAAGGTACAAGACACTCTTCATTCATGTATATTACCAGTATTATTCTACATTTTCATGCTTGGTCTAATAGTGCTTTTGAGAAAAATGCTCAGTATCCTTTTGTGTTTTTGGAGGGGGGGGTGTTGATAATATATTTTGCACTTGAATTTGGCCAAAGAAAGTCTAAAGGTCTTAGGGAACCATGAAAAATTCATATCTGTGATTGAATTTCTTTATTCTTAGATTATAAATGCAAAAAAAAATCCAATCACTGTTTTACAAGTATAAAAAATGGCTGCCTTACAGGGCAAACTGAACAAATAAATCCTGTCACTGACCAAACTTGCTTCTTTTCTTATATGGCGTCAGATCCAGGCAAATTCAACTTCACCCCGCGACTCTTCCAGCTGAGCAGCACATCGGGAGAATTTGTAGCCTCTGAGTTCTTCCACCCATCCAGAGCTCCAGACCTCATCAGCTCCCTGCCGTTCCTGCAGGAAGACCTGTACAACGCACAGCAACCTGGTGAGATCTGGACTCAGACTCCCTGAGCTCTGGCCTGCAGATTATGCACATAAATGCAGATCGAATGTATTTATTTCTCCCTTTTATATTCTGTCTGGCCCAGCTTTGTTCCTGGTAGATAACTTCCACGAGGTGTACCTGTGGCAAGGCTGGTGGCCCCAGGACAGCGAGAGCACGGGCTCAGCCCGCATCCGCTGGGATGCTGACCGAAAGTGTGCCATGGAAACCGTGCTTCAGTACTGCAAAGGTGAGGGCAGGCGAGTAGCCGGTACATCAGCTTCTTCCATCATTTTCTGTGCACGTACATTGCTGTTTCTGGACCAAAGTATCCCCCTGAGAAAAAAAAGGGGCTTTTGGGAGCACACGCTTCCTTTCGCACATGTAGTTTGCATTTGAATTATTCTTAGTTTGTGCAGTTGTTTTGCCATTTTGAATCCATCATTCGGCAGTCACTGAAGTCCCCCACGCAGTCATATTGAGCAACTGAAGCTCTTCACTCAATTCCTGCAGAAAAGAACGAGAAAAAGCCTCAGAAGTCGTACCTGATCCACGCCGGCCTGGAGCCGCTCACCTTCACCAACATGTTTCCCAGCTGGGAGCACAGAGAAGACGTGGCTGAGATAACAGAGAGGGTCAGCTTTACACGCACAGGCTTTCACAGCCATTTCACCCTCTTTGTCATCAAAGAACTTAAACAGATTTTTTAAAAACATTTCCAAGCTTTAAGCTTTAAGTCTCATTCACCCACACAAATAAGGAAAATGAATTCTCTCGGCTGCAGGAGGCGGAGGTGTGTAACCAGATCATTTTGGTGGAGGACGTGTTGGCCCGGCTGTGTCAGAACATCTTCCCTCTGGCTCAGCTGCAGGCCAGGCCCCTCCCGGAGGGGGTCGACCCGCTCCGGCTGGAGATCTACCTGTCCGACCCGGACTTTGAGGTCAGTGCATCCATAAAACCTCCTGCTCCTGAAGAGCTTCGGTCGGAATCTTTTTCTCTTGTTTGTCAGAGGAAAAGATGGGATTAATGGATATAAAAACACCAAAAGTTTTCAAATTTGTTAACAAGTTGACATCTGAGAGGACAAAAGTTGTCCTGGGCTCTTTCATTCTGTCCCAGATCATGAAATCAGACATAAACTGGGGCATCAGATCCATACATTTCGTAGAGCTGGCCTGCAGTTTGGGGGCTGAAACAAGTAAATTTTAACTGTTGAACTATATGGGTGGCTTATTTTAATCAAGTGAATGATTTAGGATTATTCATTCATAGAGGGATTTTAAGGGGTTCCTGGTTTTCCCCTAAATCTAATACCCATCGGCTTACAATCCATCTAACTGCATCTAACTTTCACTTCACAGACCAAGTTGTAGGTGGATTCAGGTAAGAGGAGCCGCCCGTGTGATTCTGCAGCACGGCGGACCTGTTTTTATTTTTCTATTGAGCATGTCAGCACTGTGTTTCTCTTCTTGACATGGATTTGAAAAATCCCTCCTGTCCTTTGAGTGCGGTGTGGGTCGAGGAGGAGAGCTTGCGCTCGGCTGCACACTCACGTCTGAATTGATGTCCCCCAAAGTGACCATCAGTCACTTATATGAGGCTTTGGGTCAGCCGCAGACAGAAACGATGCCCCCGCCTCACAGAGCTGCTAACTAATAGAAAATGACGGATGAGCCAATTACTGATCGGGTTCCTGCTCGACATAACGACTGAGCCCTTTGTGGTGACATTTCTAAAGCTCATCTTCAAGGACTCCATGTGAGGATGAAAATATCAGATTCAGTATAAGCTCCACTTTATAGATTTCTGAGAATCAGAAGAACGACATTTCATAAATATCAAATGAATTTGGGAAGAATTATATAACATGAGTAATTCACCTCATGATTTTGTGTTGGCGGGCCAGTGTTCCCAGATGTTTAGAGCAGAACTTAAATTGTGAGAATGGGCGGCTTTGCCGGTGCAGCTGTCGTTGGTGAGCGTGACCACGCCGCACTCCTGCAGCACAGACATAGCATCCACCTGAGACTCTTTCCTCAAACAAGCACTTCGGTGATTCACCCTCAGCCGCACTGCATCCTGACTCACTGTCTGTGGAGCACCACACGAAGGCATGAAAACGTTCACTCTGGTGAAACTGATGATGATGTGTTAGTCCTCGGTTTCTCTCTATCGAAACACACGGCACAGCAGACATAACCCCAGTTTGCCCACACATGACACGTTAGACTGAGGGGTCAAAAATGTGCCCTGATATGATTTTTAAGGCCAGTTTAAGCATCTCTGAGTATCTCCCTAGAAAAGACATCCATTCTCTGACAACAGTCTCTGATCATCTTCCAGCGGCTCCTTTCTGGTCTGCACAATTACTGACAGGTCACCTTCTATTTGGCCACTCTGACTATTGTAGCTCCGAACACTTGTATTGAACACTTATTAACGAGGCCTTCCATATCGACTCTTTCATCATTCCGACTCCAGTGTTTGCTCCACTCATATTTGAGTAGTCAGACTTTGACCAGATCAGGGTCACAATCTCAGTCATTAGGTTGAGGCATGTCAGCACAAACAGGTCGTAAAAGTTTGTGCATAAGTTTAAGTAAAGATAAAAGCCCACAAAAGGATATTTTGAGTCCGTCTGAACCTTATTAGCAGCAGTAAAAGTTCAGTGTTTGAGTAACCACCTTTGTGGTGTCTCTTTTCCAACCCCAGAAAGCTTTGGAAATGACGAGAGAGGACTATGAAAGTCTACCAGGGTGGAAGCAAGTGAACCTAAAGAAGGCCAAAGGACTTTTTTGAGCAGGGTTTTTCCCCCTGAAGTTGGCGCGTGAAGCCGTCAAAGACTGGATGAGGGAGAAGAGGATGGAAGAAAAGTAACCGAACCGACAAGAAGAACGAGATGGAGACGCGCTGGCCTTGCTTATGCTCATGTATTACTTCTTGACCGTGTCCGTACTTAACTAAAATAAATCCAAGCGGTGTATCACCAGGTGAACACACCTGGCTTTGGTTCATAGATGGTGTTTGTGTGTCTTTAAAAAACCTCTTCCAAGCACTTAAGTCCCGGCTTGTGGACCCCTGGAAGACAACACGTGGACGCTTGCTGTCAGAGTGCCATGACGTTGGTTGCGTGTACGCGTGCGACTGTATATAATGTTTGTGTGTGTAAACGTTCGTGTAAATGTGCATGTAGGCGCGTTTGTGACTTTGTATCCATGTAAAGGAAAACAAAAAAAACAAACCGTAATGTGTCAGGTTTCACGAGGAAAGCTGGATGGCGTCAGGCCGGGGAGGCGTGAGGTGACCCTGGGTGACCAGAGGCGAGCTGGGACCGAAAGGTTCGACTTTACAGGCGTCGGAGAGACAGCAGCTTGAGGAATCTGAATGTATAGTGCCTTGCTTTTTGTGTACAGTTTATATACAGAAATCCTAGTCTGCATTTTTAAAGACTTTCTTTGTGATATAAGACATAGTGAATAAATCCCAATAATGCTCAACTCAGACAAGAAGTGGTTGTGTCTCCTTTGCTGCATGTGGTGCATGAAGGAATTAAGATCTCTTTTTCTAAATGTATTCAAGTGGTAAAATTGTTTCATTTTAAACTAGGTAGAGGCAGCTTGTTTTTTTTTTTTACTTTTAAGCTCTCTTATAAGTGTCATCATTCCATACTGGATGAGGCTCTCAACTCCTGAATTCTTTATTCAATTTTTTCCCTGCAACCAAAAAAATTTGCGGGTCATCTGAAAGTTTTTTGTAGCATGTTTAATCCTTCCTCCCGTCGTCGGTTTAAAGAATCCTAAATAGTGAGCTGCGTTCAAACAGCAGGTTGGCCTTTGTCATTACAAGCAGAAAACTTGTTGTGTTAAAAGATATATCATATATCCATTAATACCAGTTAAAAAGCTCCAAATCTGTGATGTTTTCTCCATTATGTGACGGGTGTTTTTCTAAGTTGCTGGGTTTTCTGCTGAAACAAAACAATGCATCAATTTCAAATGTACTAAATGTTTTTGGTAAATTACTAATTAAATAGAATCATAAAAAATCTTTAAAATCAGTTATGGTTTTGCGATTAAGTGTGTATGTAGAAGCAATTTAGTAAATTGCATCTATATACATGCCGTTAGCCTCAAGTGGCTCAATCCAAAGCTCATCGGCTGAAAATACACCTATGCTCTTTAGTAAAATCACTAAAATGTCACTTAAACAACAAGATAAAAGCCACAATATCAAAAGTAAAATCTTAAAATCAGTTGGAAAGCAAATTGCAAGGCAAATGAAGAAGAATCATATCAAAAGCAATGCGAAAACATCCCTGATGAGCACCAAAAGGAACATTTAATGTCCCTGTGCATATTCTGCACTCCAGAAACCAGCCCCTGGCCCCTGTGACGTAAGATCCATGCTGTTAATTCGGGTTATTATTAAAAATAATAATAATAATTAGGATAGTATTCACAAACAGTGTAAGGAAGGAACAAATCACACCTCTAAAGTTTAAACTGATATCTGTATGTTACAAATTTCTAAAGCTAACAGAGAAAATATACAAGACATTTTATAGTCTTACCTGTGACGCTTTTTCTTTTTTTCTTCGAGGTTTAAACCTAGGTTTTATTTCTATCTTTGAATAGACCTCCCTAAATCCAAGGATTCTTAAGTTTCCTGTCTGTAAAGAAGATTCAACTTCAATCTGTGAATCTTTATCATAGCAGATGTTTTTGTGGTATTACATACCGTGGAACAATAAGTTGTTCGACTGCAAACATAAACGTTTTTGTTTAAGAAAACAGCTTAATATTCAAGTTTTTAATCAACACAAAAAGATCTTTAATGACAACTGTCCAAAGCTAACTGGCGTCCACAGTCGGACCATTTAGCCCGTAACACTGGCCGGAAGTTCGAAAAGCCGTGGACTACACAATGACTCTTAGCTAAGTGTGTGCGGGAGGGCGGCAGTGTTTTTCTGTGTGGGCGGAATATTTGCTTCCAAAATGTCTTCGCTTCGGCATATTAAAGACTTTATCTGCCAGCGTCTAACTGCGGCTGCTGAAGAAATATTCACAGAGTTTGAAAAAACCGTCGTCCATTACGAGAAAGAGATCGATCGTCAGCGCCGGCTGTTGGAAATCACATTGAGCCCCCGAGTGAAGCTGCACAGAATAGGTATGAAACGCAACTTAAAACTAAATTCGCTTTATTTTCGGTGTCATAAAAGAAAACGATGGAGCTACTGATGTTATTTTCCCCTTCCTTCAAATCCCCCATTCCTTCCTCCCCATATATGTCCTTGATGTGTGATTTGACTGTATCTGGGCTTAAGTGTACTGAGGTTTTTTTTTTCCATCATTCTTACGTACCCTGTAGGGGTTGTGGCACTGGGCCTTTTTCCTCCTCTTCCGTCAACCACTTAACCTATGTTTTTTTTTTTCTGAGGTAAAAAGGTGGGCTGCCCAAAAGTCTTCCCGAACCCTGTGTCTGTGTGTCTGTTTGTGTGATCTAGGACTGGCTGTCATGAAATTTAATTTCTCCACTGTGAGATCAAAAAAGTATTTGATATTTTCACATAGAAATAAGAGTAAAACTTGTTAAAGCATAAAACTAGTTTTAAACATATGGAGTAACAGACTATGACATCACTATGGACAGCAATCTCACTTTTGATAATCACATTCACCATTTTACGTCTGATACGTTTTCATCATTTTGGAAACCTGTCATAAATTATTTAGATTATTATTCAAGTTATCAGCAGATCGGTTTTACTTTATTCAGAATACATTAAAAAGCAAGGTTTTGCTATCAATAAGACTTCACACTACATTTAAAAAATCTGATTGGATGTATTCCTTCTTCTTTCTCTGCAGTCATTCCACAGCAACTGGCCGTTGAGGAAGATGCATTTACTGACCAGAAGTGCTGTAGTAAAGAGAGAGACTCCAGTCTGAACCAGAAGCAACGAGAGACCCCTGAGTTTGAAAAGGAAAATATCTCTGAAGTTGAGCCAGATGAACAGTCTGTAAAATATGTTTGTAGAAAGCCTCTGAGGGCTGATGCAGAAGAAAAAAACCTCCACGAAAGTTGGAAGCCATTTGAGTGCGAAATATGTGGGAAAACCTTCCTTTGTGATCGATCTTTGCTGATCCACACGAGGAGCCACGAAGGTGAGAGAAATGTTTACTTTCTACGTCTACAAACCTCTAAGAATTTTGGGAACACATGAAAATCTACTGAGAAGCGTTTTTCTAATGTAAAACACGTGGAAAGAGTTTCATTTGGAAAAGTAGGCTCATTATCCCTATCTTGATCCAGACTGGTGAGAAACCCTTATCTTGTAGAGTATGTGGGGAAAATTCAAGTCATCTAATCCCACATACTTTACTCGTTATCAACTTATCACCAGTGGGGATCCTCCATTGGATTCCTATAAGATAATAAAAAATAACTGCTTGTGTTCTTCTGTCGCTGCAGTCATTCTGGAGAAACAGGTCTGTAAGAAGAAGGAAGTATTTGCTTACCAGACACTCTGTAATGAAGAGAGAGATTACAGTCAGAACCAGGAGGAACCAGAAACCCCTCAGATTAAAGAGGAACATAAGGAACTCTGCACCAATCAAGAAGTAGAGCAGATTAAAGTGGAGACAGTGACTGATGCTTTCACGTTGAGCCCTATTCACCAAGAATGGGACTTTGGCAAAGTAGACACAGACCCTGACCAGCCAAACTCTCAGACCTGCCCCTCAACTGAGAGGCAAAATCAGGAAGGGATGGATCACACAATCATAGGATCCAGCAAAGTTACAGAGATGAAGGCAAAGAATGGATCTAATGGAGACATGGGTCACAGCAACGATGATAATTCTGTCCTTTCAGAAAACAAGTCTAATGTTGAGTCAGATGAACAGTCTGTGAAATCTGTTAGTAAACAGTCTTTGAGGGATGAGTGTGATGAGAAGAAAACTGACACAACCCCCCAAAAATCTAAAAGACGAACCTGCACAACATGTGGGAAAACCATTGCAAACTCTTATTTCATGAAACACATGCGGATACACAGTGGTGTGCGACCTCATTCTTGCGAAGTATGTGGGAAATGTTTTTCTCAAAGGTCAGATCTTGTGAACCACGTGAGAACTCATACTGGGGAAAAACCTTTTGTATGTCCAACATGTGGGAAAGGTTTTTGTCAAATAGGACAACTTAGTATCCATAAAAGAAATCACTCAGGAGAGAAACCTTATGTGTGCGCTATATGTGGAAAAGGTTTTTCTGAAAAACGTTCTCTTGATAATCATAAAAGAACCCACTCAGATGAGAAACCTTATATGTGCACTATATGTGGGAAACGTTTTTCTCTAAAAGGTCATCTTGATGACCATAAAAGAACCCACTCGGGTCACCCTGACCAGCCAAACTCTCAGACCTCCCCCTTAACTGAGAGGCAAAATCAGGAAGGGATGGATCCCAAAATCACAGGATCCAGCAAAGTTACAGAGATGAAGCCAAAGAATGGATCTAATGGAGACATGGGTCACAGCAACGATGATAATTCTGTCCTTTCGGAATACAAGTCTAATGTTGAGTCAGATGAACAGTCTGTGAAATCTGTTAGTAAACAGTCTTTGAAGGATGAGTGTGATGAGAAGACAACTGGCAGAACCCTTCAAAATTCTACAACGCGAACCTGCACAACATGTGGGAAAAGTGTCAGAAATTCTTCTTTTGTGGCACACATGCGAACACACAACGGTGAGCGACCTTTTTCTTGCGAAGTATGTGGGAAATGTTTTTCTCTAAGCTCTTGTCTTGTGAACCACATGAGAACTCATACTGGGGAAAAAGGATTTTTATGTACAACATGTGGGAAAGGTTTTTCTCAAAAAGATACTCTTGAAGCCCATAAATTAATCCACTCGGATGAGAAACGTGTTGTGTGCACTATATGTGGGAAAAGTTTATCCGTAAAAACTTGTCTTGATACCCATATGAGAACCCACACAGGTGAGAAACCTTATATGTGCACTATATGTGGAAAAAGTTATTCTGTAAGAAATCGTCTTACTGTCCATGAAAGAACCCACTCAGGGGAGAAACCTTTTGTGTGCATTATATGTGGGAAAAGTTATCATGAAAAATCTATTCTTGATGACCATAAAAGAACCCACTCAGGTGAGAAACCTTTTGTGTGCACTATATGTGGGAAAGATTTTTCTCATAAAGGACATCTTCGTGTCCATAAAAGAACCCACTCCGGGGAAAAACCTTATGTGTGCGCTATATGTGGAAAAGGTTTTCTTCAACAATGTTCTCTTACTGACCACAAAAGAACCCATTCAGGGGAGAAACCTTTTGTGTGCACTATATGTGGGAAAGATTTTTGTCAAAAAGGTCAGCTTGATAATCATAAAAGAACCCACTCCGGGGAGAAACGTTATGTGTGCACTATATGTGGGAAAGGTTATTCTCGAAAATGTTATCTTGATGTCCATAAAAGAACCCACTCGGGTGAGTGATCTTTTTCTTGTGGAATTTGTGGGAAAGATTTTATCCTGGACTAACGATTGAAAGTTCATGAAGGAGTCCACAAAGACAAGAAAAAGTGTTCATGATTTTTGTGATGGATGCCCCATGTTTGTATGGGTTTATCCCCACTGTCAGTTGTTTTAGAGTTTGTGAATTCTTAGAGGCTTAAGGTGAGACTGAGACTGCTGCCACGGGCCCCATGTTTGTTTGACCAGCCCGTTAAGGTGAAAGTGGCCGGATTGGGGCCGAGACAGGTGGTCACACTGAGAGCCAGATCCACGGATGAGAGAGGAGTGGTGTTCAGCTCCTCCGCCTCCTACCAGGCAGTTGGCGGAGGGGAGATCCACCTGGACAGGGACCCCTCCATCGGTGGGAGGGAGTGGAACCAATGGGTCTCCTGAGATCCCTGCGGGCAGAAGCCTTGCGCAAGGACTTTTATAAGAACAAGACATTACACTCTCATATCGTAAACTTCTCTGTCCACGAGGACAAGGAGGAGGGCGGGATTCTGGCGGGGTCGACCAATGAGAGGCTTCTGATGGGAGACGGGGTCATTCGGCTTCTTACTTGCAACACTGAAGTAATTATGTTAAATTGCGTGTGTATACAATAAAAAGTTTGACATTTTAAAGGAAAAAACAGACTTTGATCTTGAGCATACTCCGTCTAAAATATTAAATGCATAAACATAGGATTTATAACATGATTTGCAAAGGAAACCCATTTATGAACTTTAATTTCTGTGGAATGTTTGTATTTGGATATATATATAAATATATGTTAGACATATATATGTTTATTATTGCCACTGCAAAAAAATCTACTTCATGCATAGAGACTGTAAACAGAATTAAAAATACTTTAATAATCCCAGAGGGAAATTATTAATGTTATTACATGTATTCAATATTCAATCAAATGTATTAAGAATATTAATAGTGTTGTGTTTCCTTTCCTCAGTCAGGTTTTCCGCTTTTGCCTTTCT